TAGGATATATTCCTAGAAGTGGCATCACTGGGTCAAAAGGCAGTTCCATTTCTGATTTTTTGAGGAACCTCCATACAGTTTTCCATAGTGATTGCACCAGTCTGCATTCCCACCAGCAGTGCGCCAGGATCCCCTTTCTCCACACCCTTGCCAGCACAAGCCATTTGTTGATTTGTTGATGGTGGCCGTTCTGACAGGTGTGAAGTGATACCTCATTGTGGCTTTAATTTGCATCTCTCTGATGATTAGCGATGTTGAGCATTTTCTCATATGTCTCTTGGCCATCTGTATGTCCTCTTTGGAGAAGTGTCTATTCAGGTCCTTTGCCCATTTCTTAATTGGGTTGTTTGCCTTCCTCTTGCTGAGTAGTTCTCTTTGTTTCTTGATGAGCCTGGCAAAAGGTTCATCAGTCTCTTTTATCTTTTCAAAGAATCAGACTCTTGGTTTCATGGATCTTTTGTATTGTTTCTTTAGTCTCTATCTCATTTATTTCTGCTCTGATCTTTATTTATTTCCTTCTACTTACTCTGGGCTTTTCTTGTTCTCTTTCTAATTCTTACAGTTGTGGGGTTAGATTTTTTATTTGAGCTTTTTCTTGTTTCTTGAGGTAGGCTTATAATGCTATGAACTTCCCTCTCAAAACTGCTTTTACTGTTTCCCATAGATTTTGGGTTGTTGTGTATTCATTTCCATTTGTTTCCAGGCAGTTTCTGATTTCTTCCTTGATCTCCTTGGTAACCCATTTATTTTATTATTATTTTTTAAAAATTATTTATTTTTTAAAATTATTTTTATTGACTTTAGAGAGAGGACAGGAGAGAGAGAGAGATAGGAACATCAATGATGAGTCATTGATCGAGCCTGCAACCTGGATCGCCGGGATCCTAGGTAGATGCTCAACCGCTGAGCCACGCCCGGCTGGGCCCATTTATTGTTTAATAACATGCTATTTAGCCTCAATGTGTTGGAATGTGTTTGAGTTTTTTTATTGTAGTTGATTTCTAGTTTCATGCTATTGTGATTCGAGAAGATGCTAGATGTGATTTCAGTCTTTTTAAATTTGTTAATAGTTTTGTGTCCTAACACGTGGTCTGTCTTTGAGAATATTCCATGTGCACTTGAGAAGAATGTATATTCTGCAGCTTTGGGAGGAAATGTTCTGTAAGTATCAATTAAATTAATTTGATCTAGTGTATCCTTTAAGGCCACTGTTTCCTTGTTGATTTTTTTGTCTGGAAGATCTGTCCAGTGATATCAGTGGAGTATTAAAGTCCCCTACTATCACTGGATTGCTATCAATCTGTCCCTTAAAGTCCTCCAATAGATTTAAAAAATATATATACTTAGGTACTCCTATATTGGGTGCATATATGTTTACAAGGGTTATATTTTCTTTTTGGATTGATCCCTTTAATTCTACGCAGTGACCTTTTTTGTCTCTTGTTATAGCCTTTGTTTTGAAGTCTGTTTTGTCAGATAGGAGTATTGCTACCCCAGCTTTTTTTTTTCCATTTTCATTTGCATGGAATATTTTCCATTCTTTCATTTTCAGCCTATGTGAATCTTTTGCTCTGAAGTGGGTCTCTTATAGACAGCATCTATATTGGTTATATTTTCTTATCCATTCAGCTACCCTATGTCTTTTGATTGAAGCATTTAATCCATTTACATTTAAGATCAGTACTTATATATTGCCATTTTTCCCTTTATACCTGTGTTCCTCACTCTTTCAATTTCTTTTTCTTAAAGCAGTCCTTTTAACATTTCTAGCAATGCTGGTTTGGTGGTAATATACTCCTTTAGCCTCTTTTTGTCTGGTAAGCTCCTTATTTCACCTTCAATTTTTAAATGATAGCCTTGTTGGATAGAGTAGTGTTGGGTTCAGGTTCTTGGCTTTTCATTACTTTGAATACTTCATGCCTGAAATGTTCCTGATGAGAATTCAGTTGGCAGTCTAATGGGAACTCCCTTGTAGGTAATTTTCTGTCTCTCTCGCTGTTATAAGATTCCTTCTTTGTCTTTAACGTTTGTCATTTTAATTAGGATATGTTTTTACATGAGTGTCTTTGTGTTCATCTTGATTGGATTCTGTGTTTTCTGAACTTGTGTGACTTTTTCCTTCACCAGGATAGGGAAGTTTTCTGTCATTATTTCTTTAAACTGTTTCTCTATTCCTTGCTCACTTTCTTCTCCTTCTGTCACCTTTATGATGTGGATATGGCATTACATGTCCCCGAGTTCCCTTAAACTACCCTCCTGCTTTTTAATTATTTTTTCTTGTTCTTGCTCTAATTGGGTGTTTTTTTCTACCTTGTCTTGAATTCCCTGATTCTATCCTCTGCTTCATTCAATCTACTTTTAATTTCTTCCTGTGTGTGTTTTTTTTTTAAATATATCTTTATTGATTTCAGAGAGAGGAAAGGAGAGAGAGAGAGAGAGAGAGATAGAAACATCAATGATGAGCGAGTCATTGATCGGCTGCAGCCCACAACCCGGGCATGCGCCCTGACCGAGAATCGAACCCCGATCTCCTGGATCCTAGGTCGACGCTTAACCGCTGAGCCACGCCCGGCTGGGCCTTCCTGTGTATTCTTGATGTCAAATATGGTATTCTTCGTTTCCGACAGGTTCTTGTTAGTGCTTTCTATTCCTTTTTCATGCTGTTGTAGTTCTATTAAGTTTCTTGAGCATCCTTATAACCATTACTTTGAACTCTATATCTGATCAGTTGTTTGCCTCCATTTTACTTATCTCTTTTCCTGGAGATCATTCCTTTTCTTTCATTTGGGGTTGTCTCCCCATTTTAGCTCTCTCATTGTGTTTGTTTATGTATTAGGTAGAGCTGCTATGCCTCCCAGTCTTCGTGGGGAGGCTTTATGTAGTAAGTGTCATGTGGGACCCAGTGGTGCAGTCTCCTTCATCTTCTGAGTTGGATGCTGTATGAATGTCCCTTGTGTGGATTATGTGTGTGTTCCCTCCTGTTGTAATTGGGTCTTGATTGCTATTGGCCTCATGCTGGCTCACTGAGGCACAACTCCAGTCACGTCATGCAGTTGTACAGGTGCTGTTTTCCACATCCCGACTGTGAATCTGGCCCTGGCCTGGCTTCAGGCCCTGGTGAGAGTCAGCTGCTTGTCCTGAACTTGGAGAGGGTCACAGGAGAGGGCAACAGGGAGGTTAACTACAGGGCTTTAAGGACACTGCTGTTGGTATTGGGGTGGTAGGCAGGTTACTCATAGAAACGGACACTAAACTTTTATCTAAAAGAGAGTGAATTCTCCAGGTGGAAAGGGAGTCCCAAGGCCTTGTGCTCTTGACACACTTCACATTATTTTATGTTCTGATTTCTTTCTTGAGGGTAGGGTTCTTCTTTTTTCAGTCCTCTTTGTGTCTGCACATGATTCCTACTGTAAACACAGTACATATATGCTGAGTGCTAGATTCCCTAGGCCGGTAAGATCTCAGAAATGATTTTTCACACAAAAGCAACATGAAAATACAGTACTACTGTTGCCTGTTGCAGTCAGCATGGCCCAAATGAAAGTTTGTGGGCTGGCAAGAAATCAGACCTTACGGAAATCAGTCTTAATGCTGAGTCATTATTTTCAGATCATTCAGTAGTTAAATATGAATTGAATACCTGAGAGGCATTGCTAGGTTTGGTAAATAAAATAGACATAGTCCTAGCCCTATGGAGCTTATCTTCGTATGGTGAAAATAGTGAGGGTGTCACCTAATTGTATAATTACATATTGAGTTAAGTTCTGTGAAGGAAACAAGGTACAGTGAGAAAGAGTAATCAGGTTTAGGATGGCAGCCACTTATAGCAAGTTACAGGGAGACCTTTCTGAAGCGGTGATATTTTAGTGGAAAACTAAGATAAGATTGAAATTCCTGTGGAAAGACTGAAAGGACAGAGAATTCTAGGCAGAAGGACCCTGTGCAAATAGTTGTGAGGCAGGATAAAGTTTGGAACATTCCAGGAATTGAAAGGAGGCCAGTGTGTTGAGCGTCATGAGTAATGGAGTGGCAGGGGTCAGATCTGGCAACGACTTTTTATATTGAGTACTCAGTAAATCCATAGCAGGGTGTTAAGTGGAATATTGGCATAATATAGTTTGTTTTGTTATTGGTTTTTGTGGGAACTAAGAATGGACACTGGGAGATGCTGGCATTATAGCATGAAGGCAAGAGAGGATGGTTGATGGAGGGTACTGGTAGTGAAAATCAAGAGAAGAAGATGGATTTGAATTATATTTTAGAAGTAGAATTAAGAGGACTTCCTGACAGATTTGATGTGGGGATAAACTAGCATCAGAGAAGTAATGACTTGAGCAACTGTCTATGTATGTTGATTTCCTGCAATGGTAAAGCCTCGTGAGAAACAAGTTTCAGTGTTAAGTTTGAGTGCTTATTATGGCATCTAATGAGGAAATATTATTAAACATTTTTCCCCTGAAGTTTTGTACTTGTTCAGCCCAAGCTCACCTTCTTCAGATCTTAAGTATTACCTCTTGAGTGAGACCTTTTTTTGACCATCTTGATTAAAATCAAAAGCCTCATACCTCCTGTCTCCTTACCCTATTTAATTCTTCTCCATAGTAATTATTACCATCTGACACGTTATATTTTTTACTTATTTTCTTATTGACTATAATGTAAGATCTGTGAGGTCAGGGATTTTTGTGTATTGATCATTACTATATTCCCATCACCTAAAACAGATTATGGATTATAGTAAATGATCAGTATATATTTATTAAATGAATATATAAAGCCACTTGAAGGATTCCATGGTGTTTTCCATGAGTAAATTTTCTTTTTAGGATTGTCAGGCTTTTGGCTTAAAACAATTCAGTTCTCTTTATAACAAATGCAGGTTTTATAGGATGTTACATGTATGTGTACATATGCACATACACACAGGGATTGGCATTGCTTTCTTTTAAGGATAAAAAATTAAGTCTATAACTCATATTTTAATTCTCTTTAATTTTTAGGTTACATCTGACGGAAAACCAAAAATTGTTGATATCATTGACACAACAGGAAGTGGTGATGTGAATACTTGTACGGTAGTAGAGCCAAAAGATGGTGAAATTATTGGCCTTTCGGGAAGAGTGCTTAAGGTTGGAGCTTTTATCTTTTCATTGAATTTTTTCTTTTTTCTCTTTCTTTTTTTGTATTGTCACCTCAAACTATCTAATTTTTAGCTTACATTTAATAGTATGGTGAGCATTAGCTGTTGCTGTATAACAAATTAAAACTTCATGGTTTAAAACAACAAACATTTGTTATCTCACAGTTTCTGTGAGTCAGGAATCTGGGTGTGACTTAGCTGGGTGCCTCTCATTCAGGATCTCTTCTGAGCTTGCTGTTGGCCAGGGCTGTGGTTTCATCTGAAGGCTCAACTTGGTTGGGGGAGGGGCATCTATTTCCAAGCTCACTCAAGTGGTTATTGGCAGATTTTAGTTCCTTGCTGCTAGCACCTCTCCACAGGGCTGCTTAACAACATGCAGTTGTCTTCACTCTGGGAAAGGAATCCAAGAGAGAGTTCCCAAGATAGAGGCCATGCTCTTTTTATAAATTAATCTTGGAAGTGACATCCTATCACTTTACCATGTTCTTTTAATTAGAAGTGAGTCATTAAATTGAGCACACACTTTAGGCGAGGACATTTTACAAAGGCATGAATACCAGGAGGTGGGAGTTGTTAGGGGTTATCTTAGAGGAAGTCATTGTTTTGTTGTTTGATAGCAGGCTTAGAATTGTGTGTGTCCCCCTCCCCCCCAATGTGGTTGCCAAATGCTAAAACTTTTAAGTTTTGAATAGAAAAGTGGGAAAAGTGACCAGATAGATGATAGCTTGCCTTCGTCTTTTCCTGTCCCTTCTGGGAACTTGAACATGAAATATTTAGGCTTTAATAATTATAGACTTAAGAGATTAGCTTTGTCTTATTCCTTGTACTTGGTAGAAAGACTGGAGTAAGCTAACATGAAAAATAATTAGAAAACAAACATAGGCCAGTTCATGAGATATTAGCTAATGGGTTTGTTAGGTGGCAAGAATTTGATTGTGATTCAGTACTCATCTTTTAAACCAATAAGCAGAATTCGTTTGGGAAACAAATTTGTGGTTATTTGTGTAAAGAGCTGTATTTAACTCTTTCCTTCTTTTACTGTCTGTTTGAGTTATGTTTAGGCATTATCTCCTGGAAGGGATTGTGACAGTGAATTAGTTTTCTGTGCTACCTAACAAAGTAACAAAAACTTAGCAGCTTAAAGCCAAAACATTCCTGCATTTATTATCTTACTGTTTCTGTAGATCAGAAGTCCAGACATGGCTCTTGGCAGCTTTCTGCTTAGGGTCTGACAAGACTACAGTCAGGTGTTGTGGGACTGTGGTCTCATCTGAGGCTCCTCTTCTAAGTTCACATGATTGTTAGCACAATTTATTTTGTCCTGGCAGCTTGCTTATTGAAGGTCAGCAGAAGAAGCTCTCTGACCTCAGGAATGGCCTCAGTCTCTCTTTTAAAGAGCTTATTAGGTCACCTTATTAGGTCACATCCACAAGGCTAATCTCCCTTTTGATTAACACAGTCACCTGATTAGGGACTGAAATTGTTCCTGCAGCATCCTTCACCTTTGCCGTATTACTTACCATAACATAATCACAGGAGTGATATTCACAGATCCTGCCTTCACTAAACGGAGAAGAGAGGACTATACAACGGCATGGGTCATCTTAGTATCTGCCTATCACAGACGGACAGTAGGAATTAATATTTAGTTTCCGTTTTCATGTGTTATGGACTGAATGTTTGTGTGCCCCCCAAATTCATATGTTGAAGCCCTAATACCCAATCTGAGGATGTTTGGATGCAAAAAGACCTCTTTAACAGGATTTTACCACATGGAACATTAACACTAAGGATGACACTTGGCTTATTAAGAAAATGTTCAATTTGTTAGGCATCTTTAAAAGACTCAGGGAAAAGAGGTGTAATGAGTAATGAAAGAGATTCTGTTTCTCCTGTGACAATCATTATGTTGTAGTGACCATGTAATTAAAGCCATTTTAAACATATCAGCTTAAAGGGTCAAAATATAAAGTTTTGGTTCTTAAAGTGACTGAAAACATCCTTATTTGTAAAGAATGCTAAATAGATAAAATGACATTTTCCGTAATTACCTCATAGAGAAAAGTTAGCTTTATTCTAACTTGGTTAACGTTAGCTAGAACCATGATTCAATTTGATGTTTTTGTTTGTTTAATTTTTGTAGCTAGTATTCTATGAGGAAAATATATAGTAGTGATTTGAAAAGAAAAGTATTTGGTTGCTACCCTAGCCTAGTGGCTCAGTTGGTTGGAGCTTTGTCCCTTATACCAAAAGGTCGTGGGTTCAATTCCCGGTCAGGGCACCTACCTAGGTTGTGGGTTCAGTCCCAGTCGGGGTGTGTACCGGAGGCACTGATCAGTGTTTCTCTCTCTCTTCACCCCTTCCTTTCTCTAAAAATCAGTAAACATATGTTTTGATGAGGATTAAAAAAAAGAAACTTAAAAAAAAAAGTATCCGATTGCATGGTCCCTGTAGATTTTTATCTTATATATAATTAAATTAAGTTATGTTTATCAGATTACTTTTCTTGTATTACGTATGTTTTATTTTCTTAATTAAATTTTCTTAACCCTCATCCAAGGATGTGTTTACTGATTTTAGAGAGAGAGAGTCTGATATCTGAGAGAAACATTGGTTAGTAGCCTCCCCTGTGCACCCCACTGGGGATCAAACCCGCGACCTAATTCTATGCCCTGACCAGGAATCAAACCTGCAGCCTTTCAGTGCACAGGATGAAGCTCCAACTAACTGAGCCACACTGGCTAGGGCTATATTACATATATTTTAAGTAATTGTGATAAAATATGTCTTATCAGCTGTTTATTTCGCAGTTCTCTTAATTAGTTATTCCATTAAATCCTTTGAGAGTTCACGGCTTTTTGTAATCTCTTAGTAAAAGAAGTTGCCACTAATCTAGGGTTAGTAAGCCACCTGTGTAGTGGCATGCCTGTGATGAAATATTCTTTGAATTTGCCAACCAGTGACTACTCAGCTTTTGTTGTTGCACCACTTTATTACTTTATTTATTTATTATGTCATGTGCTATTGCAAGAATATTAGAGTTTAGAATCCCTACTGTCTAAAGTTTTGAATGAAAAGCACTAGTTTATATACCAACATAGTTGAAATTCCCCATACTCTAGATATCCAGTTCATTCAGAAAGAATTACTGATATTCAGGCTTTTTAAAAGTCAGTAGATCTTTGAACTTCTGTGAATGATTGTTTTCCTCTATTTTGTGAGAAAATTTCATCCCAAAGTTTCCTACCTGGGGATAATTTGATGAGGGACATGGGGGTGATTTGGTTAAAGATGTTACACAGATGAGACTTGATGAGTGAACCAACTGTGTGGTTGAGAGTTGGACCTCAAAACTTATGTACATTCAAAGCTGTTTTTAATGATCATTGGTCATATGATTACAAAGATTCTGAATCCTCTGCATTTTCCTTATTGACATTTCAAGTTGGTTGATGCTCAGTGCATTTTGTTATTAATGAGAATCATAAGGTAGGGTTTATTTCCTTTTTCACATGAGGAGCTAGAAGCTGTGGGTCCCATGTAGTTAATAGTAGAGTTTGAATTCATATCGAGGTTATCTGACTTTAAATCACATACCTTTTACACTGAATTTTTGGTCTCCATGATAGAACCAAACTACAGTTTTCTTTTCCACCTTCCTGTTGTTTGGGCAAGCAATTTAATTTCTTTTTGCTTCTTTGCTTTTTCCATTTGTAAACTGGGCATACTGTTTGCATCATTTTGTTAATTAAAAGCTTTAAGTGTTATTTTTAGATACTCTGAGATAGTTGAAAAGTATTATAAAATTTCATATATAATTTAAATGATTTTATAGAACTTTTTTCTTACGAACTCAAAAAGCTCTTATTTAGCTTCTAGACATTGTCCCTGTTGTATCTTAGAGCCCAGTGAAGCTCTTCTTATTAACAAGAAATCTAAGAGTAAGAGGTTCTGTAAATTGCTTCCCCTCCCAATTAGTTGATGGGCAATAGGGTAGTGAAGGGAGAAGTGAGGTGTCATTGATGCATGAGAACTAAAGATCTTAGTGGTTTAATAAGGTTTTGTATGTTGAAAGCACTTTATGAACTATGAAGCATTGTGTAAATGAAAGGTATTCTAGTTGAATCATCTTATTTATGGTTGAGATAAAAGGAGCCAGAGAGATATTAACTGGCACCTTAAAATATTAAAAATAGTGCTCTAATACATGAGCCTGATCATCCAAGTTGAGTCAGTAGGATAGAAGTGAAATACCTTTTCCTCCGGTAGTAAGCCATTGGAATTGGGAAGCATTTAGTGAATCAATAATTTACTTTTTTTCCTATAGATTCCTGCGAGCTGGACAAATCCCTCAGGCACATATCATATTGGCATAAAAAATGGATACGACTTCTATCCGAAGGCTCTCAAGGAAAGGATACAGGTGATGTTCAATCTAGTATCACTGACTTATCTTCTTTCTCAAATTTTATTCCTACTGAAAAAAATTATAAAATCTCACTAATTCTTAATTATTTTGGGTGATGGGAGTCTTTCAAGCAATGACTACTTAAAAGATTCTGTTCAATGGACTGTTACCTATTTAAAGTCATGGTTCTCAGTCTTGAATACATGCATAAGCTTAGGGAATCTGATTACAGTGAAATTATATTCAAATCTTTGGGTGTTTATTTTTTCCTGAGAAATGGCATGTAGCTTTTTTCATCAGATTTTTGAAGGACTTTTTTTTTTTAACCTCAAAACTGCTAGCGATAGTTGATTTAAAGTCCAGACTTTATAGCTTTTATGATAATTTGTCCCATTTTTCTATAGTTTAACTAGCCTTGACCCCAGTTCTCACTCAGTATTAAGGAAAGGGTTACTCAAACCCAAAGCAGCTGAAGTATGGGAAGCACAAATCTTCATTAGAGAAGTAGAGCTGTAAATTGAGGGACAAGGAGCCTGCTTTAAAGCAGCACTATTCAATAGACCTTTCAGAGATGATGAAAATGTTCAGAACGTTCAATATCTGTCCATTAAGCTAGTTACTAGCCACAGGTAGCTATTGCAAACTTGAAATGTGACTAGTATGACTAAGGACTTGAAATTTTAATTGATGTAATATTTTAGAATTTTGGTTTAAATGGCAACATGTGACTAGTGGCTCCTGTATTTGACAGTGCCATTTTAGAAGGTTGCTGTGACACTAGTTGCTGATGTAGACAGATTCAGGGCTTCAACTGTAAAATGAGATGTAAACCTTGAAAATGAACCTAAGGGGTAAGACCTGTGGGTCCTTTTATCTAATCATAATATTATTTTCTGCTTTTCTAGGGGTCTGTTAACCATAAGAAATTATATTACATATATAATATTCATTACTTTTTAGATCACAATCATTATTACAAGAAAATAATGTACATGAGTTTTATTGGGTACTATTTTAAAATTTCAGGCTGAAATACACACATGTAGCACAGTATTTTTATGCACTATTTAAATTTAATCATCTGTGCTGATAAGGTACAAATTAACATGGAAATATAGAGTGATAAAGTTAAAGCTGACTCTCTCCCCAACCTTAACTCAGTCAAGTTAATTATTTTACTGGAAAGGATTTTTCCATTGGGAGGCACTCTGGGTTAAAGACAGTGGAGATGAAGGTCAGACCAATTTCAGTAAAAAAGAGACCTATCAAGTCAAAGAGGATTAGAAAAAAATAAGCTAGAGAGGGGAGAAATTGAGGAAGCCTGCATGTCCATCATAATGTACCTGCAGTCTTATTTGTGTCCTCTGCTTGCACTTAATTTGAGACATTTCTCAGTTCTGTAAGGTCCCAGAATACAGTATTTTTTTTTTAATTTTTTTTTTTACTTTAAATGATTGGGAATTCAGGTGTCCAACATAGTGTAATATTTACTCTTCCAAGGATTTAAATTGGGACATACGATGTATAAAAATACATTTGGGTGTGTCTTGGTAAACTTGTTCATTTTTTAATAATTCATTGCTTTATCAATTTGATTATAAATGATTTGTTTTAGCCTCTGTATGAGAATCATGTAGCATCATAGCTTATAACAACTAGGTCCACATATGAATGACTGTCTAGGTTTACCTGAATATTTGTCAACCTCATTGTGAGGTAATTTTTCTGTCTTTGCAGAAAGAACGGAAGGAAAAAATTTGGGACCCTGTTCACAGAGTGGCTCTGGCAGAAGCTTGTAGAAAACAGGAAGAATTTGATGTTGCCAACAATTGCCCTTCTCAAGTTGGTGCTCGTCATTTTTATTTAAGCATTACCATAGGATCATGTGCCATAGAGTTCTTAGAGAATTATTAATAGATTGTTTTTCCCCCCACAAGTTTTGAGTTTAGTTTTACTCATTTTTCCTTTATTATCTGAAATCAATTCACACATGTACTAATTTTTTAAAACTTATTATTGAACATACAATAACATGTAAAAGTTAAATCATAAGTGTGTAGTCACGAATTATCACGAAGTGAACACTCTCATTTTAGCATCATCATCTCATGCCTCTTCCTAGCTCTTTCTCTCTGTTCCTCCCTAAAGGTGACCACCATCCTAACTTCTAAAACTATTGAATGATTTTGCCTATTTTGAATTTTGTAAAATGGAATCATGCAGTGTGCGTTCTTTTACGTGTGGCTGCTCTAACTCAGTGTTTGTGAGTCATCCATAGCTGGAGTATTGAAAGTTTGTTCATTTTCCATGCTATTTGATGGATGCACCACAATTTATATATATCCATTTTGCCCTTTGATATTTTCAATTTTTGGCTATTATGTAAAATACTATTTTGAACATTGTTGTGCATGTTTTTTGTGGGAGGGGGGATCATAATGGTCACACCAATTCACATTCCCACAAGAAATTATGAGAGTTCCAATTGTTCTGTATCCTTAAATAGCTAGTAATTTTTTTGAATCAATTTATAAAATAAAAATAATGTCTTGATTTATTATTTAGAAAAGATTTGCTAGTTGCAGAAACTTTTGGACAACACAGGTCTATAAAGTAGCAAGTGAAAGCCTTCAAAATGCCACCCTCTGGGGATGGTAACAACTCCGTTTATCCTTCTGAATTTTTCTTTTAATGCATGTATGTACCTTTTCTTAATCAAAAATGGAATTGTGTTAGTGATTCTCAACCCTGGCTACATATTAGAATCATATGAAGAGCTTTAAAATTGCCAGTGCTAGTGCCCTAGAGAGGAATTAAAACCTTGCAGGGTGACAAACTTTTTAAAATTTTATTTCACATATATTAGAGAACTCAGCATTTATTAAAACATACAGCAAATCAACTTATTACAAGTAAGACAACACTATAAGTAATAGAGTCTCCATATCCTGAATCTAAGTCCTAGAAATGTTGTAGTTTCTTCATCTCCTCTTCGTTCTCTAGATACATCTAAGAATGGTGCTAATTACTCAGGGAGGGAGGTAAACATTTTTAAAAGCTCCCCATAAGCTTTAATTAATGTGCAGCTAGGGTTGAGGACCACTGGCCTCTATAGATCTATATACACATTTAATTTATATTTACTTACTCTCTATATAGCATCCTTTTCTTAATAGCTGTATAATTTTCTATTACATCACTGTTTGTCCTAATTCAGCCTCTTTTTTTTTTTTTTAATATATTTTTAGTGATTTCAGAGAGAGGAAGGGAAAGGGAGAGAGAGAGAGAGAGAGAAAGAGAAACATCAATGATGAGTCATTAATAGGCTGCTTCCTGGGGATCAAGCCCACAACCTGGGCATGTGCCCTGACCGAGATTGAACCACGATCTCCTAGATCCTAGGTCGATGCTCAACCTTTCAGCCTCGCCCAGCCGAGCTAATTCAGCCTCTTATTAGACACATTAAATGTAGTATTTCAAGCACTACTTATATATGGCTAACTTTATAAAAGAGGAAACTGGATTTAACTTTCCATTTATTTTATTGTAAACCAAACATGTCTATATAATTGTCCTTTTCCTTTAAGGAGGAGTAAATGTTCCATGTTGAATAATTAAAATGTTGAATTATTAAAAGCAAAGCATAGCTTAAGATTTTTTGAACGCGTAGAAATTAAATTTTTATTCACTAGGACCATTCAGATAAATGTAGAGCAGTTTAATGTAGCATGTTGTTAAAAAATACTTAGGTTGAAGCATATGAAATTCTCATTTTTGTATGTAGATCAAAATGGTTAAATAGCAGCTTATATGTATGTGGTGATGTATTTAGTATGTATTTAACTTAGCATATTCTAAAAGAGAGAAGGCAGTTCATGGTTTCTATTATTTATTTGGATTCTTAAGAAACAGATTTTAAATGGAAATGGTACCGATATAAAAATCATATAAAAAACCTAAAAGTTGATAGATAACCTATTTTATAGTAATTTTAGAATTACTTTTGGAAATAAGTTACAGATTACAGATATGTGACCAACACATACTTGGCTGAATGATTTCACCGACATATAACATAATGTCTTTCTTAAAGCAGGTGGAGTGAGTGACTGAGTGAAAGAGGCATTATTTTTTAAATGTTTAATATATTAATTGATACCTGCATCATTAAATTTAACTACAAGTTGCATTTTTTCCAGGGTAAAATGACTTTACTGTTGGGTCACAGTGTGTCTTTGGTTAAAATGTTAATATAAGTTTTCAAGAGTACAAAATGTTCTAATATTAATGTATGTTCTAATTGATTAGGTAAATAAACTGATCAAGGAGGAGCTTCAGAGTCAAGTGGAATTGCTGAATTCTTTTGAGAAAAAGTATAGTGATCCTGGCCCTGTATATGACTGTTTGGTATGGCATGATGGTGAAGTCTGGAGGTAAACTTTATGTATTTTATAGCTTGTCACTGCAAAATATTTTTATTTACTCAGAAGGACATTAAACCCTCAGAACTGTCAGAAATTTGGTTTATTATGACAATATCACTAAGCAAAATGATTTGAAAGCCAAATTGGCTTTTCAGTAGTTTTGGACAAGCCTTTTGAACTTCTTAGTACTTTGGATACTAAACCTGACTCTTGTGTTTTAAAGAAGCATATTTCACTAACCAAATAGTTATCAGTAACCAGATTTTATTTGGTTAATCATTGATATATGTAGAAATGTTCTTGATTGAACCTGGGCAATTTGGAAAGTAACTGCAAGAGAATGGTGCAAAGCAAGGGAGAAACACTGAATGAAGATACCGCAATAGAGACAAGGTAGCTAAGTTGAAGTGAGGCGGCATAATATGGGCGGTATGGAACAGAACTCAGTCTCTCGGATGGAGTCCTCGCTGTGATCTTCAGCACTTTGTACCTCTCTAAGCCTGTTTCCTCATCTGTTAATTGAGAGAATACTATCTTCCTAGAGGATTTTGTAAAAATTAATTTTGGTGTTTCTAGACACAGTATGCACTCAATAATGTTAGCTCTTGCTGCTGCTAACTAGTAATAATAGTAATATTGGTGATTTATACCAAGTTACCGATCCTGTACATTATCTGTTTCTTTCTTAGTGAATTGTACACTGCAAATGTGTTTTTTGGAGTTGGGTAGTATGACTTCTTGAAAACTATCTGCATGGAAATAGGAATGTGTTCTTAATACAGATATTTGGGCATATGTGTGTTTTAGGGTATCTGTAGTAAACCAAGGACCTTTCCTCAAAACTTCTTTTTTTTGCTTTTGATATAATTATATTTCACTTTATTTTTTTTAAATCCCTAAAACTTGAAATTAAGTATAAGTTTAGTTTTTTTAGTTTGAGTCCCTGTTCATGTGCAGAGGATAGTTATCAGTAACTAGATTTTACTGATACAGAACAAGATATGATGGCTTGATTACTTTTCTCAGATTGTTTACGTTACAATGCACCCTTCATAAAGAATGGTTACCTGGCCAGGTGTGGCTCAGCAGTTGAGCATCGACCTAGGATCCAGGAGATCGAGGTTCGATTCCCACTCAGGGCACATGCCTGGGTTGTGGGCTCAATCCTCAGCATGGGGCGTGCAGGAGGCAGCCAATCAATGATTCTCTCTCATCACTGACATTTCTATCTCTCTCTCTTCCTCTCCGTGAAATCAATAAAGATATATTAAAAAAAAAAAGTGGCTTTTCTCCCATGGAGGTGGGTACTAACTCATCTCTGACAATGGGTATAAATTTTTAATTGAATGAGAATCCCTTTGGGACTGAAAGTGTTAAATAAGATATTTGCGTTTTTCATTCAGATGGTATTAAATATTAATGCAGTTTTTGCATGTATTCAGGTACATTGTATGGGTGTGTGTACATGTAATTGTACACAGATTTGTGAACAGTTTTTTTCTAAAAGCTATGAAGAAAGCTTTGATCACAGTGATTGTAACATAAAAACTTCAAAGGTATGGTTTAGCAAATTTTGATACATCCACCACATGTAACATGATAAGTCATTCCTAGTGGTAAGGCTTAGGTGAATTTTAGTGTGGGAGAAGAGGCAAGGTTAACTATAAGGAAAATACTAGATACAAAGCTGAGTATCTATGGGGAAAATGTACCTCAAAAGGACTGAAAGAAATATTATTAGCAGCAGAAATTTGGTAGTGGGGCAATAGGTGGTTTCAATTACAGTGTTTTCCACACATCACTGAGAACTGCAGTCTACTTTTTCCTCAGGGAAAGGAATTTAGGATCAAGATGTCCTGGGTGCCAGTATATGTTTCCAGGAGGTTTACTTGGTTGTTAAGGCAGTTGACAGAGTAAGTGATACACTGTAACAGGTTGTCCACAGTATTATGAGACACCTTTAGAATTTTTCTTTTGGAAATGAAGTTTAATCAAACATGAAATGAAATATCTGAAATCACTAGAGTAACATTTCAGAATGCTATAATGGGTGAAAAGTACAGCAGAATTATGCTTCAGGTGCTACTAGAAATAACTTTTTTTAAAGCATCATAATATATCATGTATGGCTTTAATTTTCTCACCTCATCGCAGCGTTAGATCCAGAATATTTTTAGGAGAATCTTAAAAACTCCACATTAACTAAGGTGAATCTAGGTGCTGTCATTTCAGAAATACCAACCATTTCTGAGGGAGAGTAAAGTGACCTTAAGTATCATGTGTTTCTTTTGTTTTTGTTTCACAAAGAATGTCAAGTCTGTCCTCCCCCTGCCACATTTCCAGTAATTGTTAAACCCACATTTCCGTACTTAGTTGGTATCCTAATCTAACTATAAAGTATTTTTCAGGATGTGTGGTGTCCAACTCACTATCACTCCTTATGGAGCAAAAACTGTTTGAGATAAACAGTACGTATTTATAGATGATTACATAAAGGAAGGGGCATTAATTTGTTTCTTTTCAGTGTTTTTTGATTTTGTTGGGGTTTTTTTTTTTGGTTTTTTATTTTTTTTAGATTTGATGAAAGCTATGGATTTTTTTCATAGAAAATTGGAGGAAGAAATGTATTAAAAATGTTCAGAACTTTATAACCCCAAAACCCCTCTTCCTCTGTCCTGTCACACATGTACCTTCATTTTTTCCCATGAACCTCATTTTCATATTCCCTTTCTCTGTATTCTAACAGCTGTTCTTTGAATTAAGCCAACCAGAACTTCAGAAAGTTATAACCTCGTACCACATTCATGTTTGCCTTGTGTGGAGTTATTTAATAAAGTCAGTAAATTTTTTTTTTTTTAATCCTCACCTGAGGATATTTTTTCCATTGCTTTTCTGAAAGTGGAAAGGAGAGAGAGAAACACCAATATGAGAGAGAGACATGGATTTGTTGCCTCCCGCATTCGTCCCAGCCAGGGCTGGGGATCGAGCTGCAACCCAGCTACCTACCCTTGGCAGGAATCAAACCCAGGACCCTTCAGTCAATGGGCGGACGCTCTAACCACTGAGCAAAACTGGGTAGTGTGTCACTAAATTTTATATTTATTTTTATAGTATGCTTGAATTGTTGAGTCACTTTATATCTATGGTAGTTATAGGAAACTGATCTGTGAAATCCATCACTGTATTTGCTGTGGACTTTTTAAAATCATTTTTTATTTTTCAATTACAGTTGACATACACTATTATATTAGTTTCAGGTGTATAACCCAGTCAAGATTGGACATTATATAACTTACTATGTGATCATCCTGGTAAATTTCATACCCATGACATTATACATAGTTATTAGAATATTATTGACTATATTCAGTATGCTATACTTTACATTCTTGTGACTGTTCTGTAACTACCAATTTGTACTTCCCAGTCCCTTCACCTTTTTTACCCATCCCCACTGGCAACTGTCAAAATGATCTCTGTATCTATGAGTCTATTTCTATTTTGTTTATTTTGTTTTTTTAGATTCAATTGTTGATAAATATGTATTTACTGCTATTTAATTGTTGATATTTTTTATCTTTTCTTTTTCTTCTTCTTAAAGAAGACCTAACATTTCATGTATTACTGGTTTGGTAGTGATGAGCTTCTCCTTTACCTTTTTCTTATCTGGGAAACTTTTACCTGCCCTTCGATTCTAAATGGTAGGTTTGCTGGGTAGAGTAATCTTGGTTATAGGCCCTGGCTTTTCATCACTCTGAATATTTCTTACCAATCCCTTCTGGTCTGCAAAGTTTCTGTTGAGAAATCAGCTGACAGTCTTATGGGAGCTCCCTTGTAGGTAACTAATTGCTTTTCTCTTGCTGCTTTTAAGATTCTCTCTTTGTCTTTAACCCTTTGCGTTTTAATTATGATATGTCTTGGTGTGGGCCTCTTTGGGTTCCTCTTGTTTGGGACTCTGCACTTCCTGGACTTGTATGACTATTTCCTTTACCAGGGTAGGGAAGTTTTCTGTCATTATTTTTTCAAATAGGTTTCTAGATTTCTTGCTTAATATCTCTCTTCTCCTTCTGGTACCCCCATGATTCAAAGTTGGTACAGTTGAAGTCCCAGAGGCTCCTTATATTTTCATCATTTTTTTGGATGTTTAAAATTTTTGTTGTTTTGATTGGATGTTTTATACTTCATTATATTTCAAGTCACTGATTTGATTCTTGGCTTCATCTAGTCCACTCTTGATTGCCTATAAATTATTCTTCATTTCAGTTAGTATATCCTTCATTTCTGACTGGTTCTTTTTATGGTTTCCATGTCCTTTTTTATGCTGTTGAAGTTCTCACTAAGTTCACCTCCTCTTTCCCTGAGTTCATTGAGCATCCTTATAACCAATGTTTTGAACTCTGCATCTAGTAAATTGCTTGTCTCCACTTTGTTTAGGGCTTTTTTTTTATGGAGTTTTGTTCCGTTCTTTCATTTGGGACATATTTCTGTGTCTCCTTATTTTGGCAGTCTCCCTGTGTTTGCTTCTATGTATTAGGTAGAGCTGCTGCATCTCCTGGGCTTGGTAAAGTTACCCAATGTGTAGTAGGTGTCCTGTAGGGTTCAGTGGCACATCCTTCCCATTCACCTGAGTTGGGCACTCTAGGTGCCCTCCCCCCCTTTGTGGGCTGTGTACATCCTCTGTTGTAGTTGAGTCTTGATTGCATTTGGCATGTCAGTGGGAGGGATTTACTCCCTGGTCAGTCAGCTGCAGGAACTGGCTTTGACCAGCATGGTGGATCAGCTGTGCTGTGCTCACCCAAGGCTCTGGTGTCCACTGAGTCCGTCCCTTCGGTGTGTTGCTTGTGGGGGGTGGTTGGGTGGTGCTTCTATGTGGTCTGAAGCTGTCTACTGGGTGCCCTGGCTCTGGGGCCTGCCAGGAGGCGAGGCCAGGGTCAGCCACCATCTGTGGTCTACCTGGGCCACCCAATATGAACTACAAAGCGATCTGCAGATGGATGCTACTTGTGTTGGGCTTGGAGGTGCCCAGGAGAGGCCAAGCTGCAAACCAAAGCCAGCTGCCACTAGTGCTGGGCCTGGGCCCATTTAATGAGCAGTATGTGGCACGCTGAGGCCAGATTCTGCTTGATTGAAAGATTTTAGGAAAGTCCGAAACATGAGCTAAGATAGGCCATTCTTGTGGAAAAGGCACTGGAAATAGCTTGGGTGGGCCTGCTAGTTGGGTGGGGCGGGGTCTCAGGGAATACCTAGGGTTGGGTGAATGGTTGCCATGTTGATGGAGACCCAGATACGGCACCCACCTGCCAGCTCTGTTGGAGGAGGGCTCATCAAAGGAACCATGGCCTCTACCAGAACTTCTGTCTGGGAGAAAGCTGCCCTCCCTGATGCCAGACAATTTAGTTCCTCCGTGTATGTCCTTGGTGCCTTTTGAGTTGCTTCCCCAGTGCTGAAGCTCAGAATGAGTGAGTCTGAGTAAGTCTGTGTGGTGGCCCTTTAAAGGAACACCTGCGACTCCAGCCACCTGCCATCTCACTCAGCAACAATCCCCACTGGATTTTACAGCCAGAAGTAATGGGGACTTCTCTTCCTGGCACTGGAACCCTGGGCTGGGGGGCCTGGTGGAGGGTTGGGATCCCTTGCTCCTTAGGACGTTCTCTGAAGCTTGTTTCATGTTTCTGCCCCTCCTACCAGTCTTGATATGGCTTCTTTATGTCTTTAGTTGTAGGACTTCAGATAGATTTTAGGTGGTTCTGAATGATGGTTGTTTTGTAGTTTAGTTGTAATTTTGATGTGATTGTGGGAGGATGCCAGTACCACATTTACCTACACTACCACCTTGACCACCCTTGTTGTTAAAAGGGTCGATTCATTCATTCTTTTAATCATTTGGCAAATATTTTAGTAGATTCTTTGTACCAGATAGACTTCGTGGAAGCTACTCCATGGCCTCTAGACCCTGTGGAAGCAAGTATTGGAGACATCTGAACCCATTTAGGAAGTATCAAGAAAGGTTTCATTGAAGGATCAGCAAAAGTAAACTAACAAAAGGGAGTAAAAGGGGGTTGAAGGTTAGAGGGGAAAGGTCCAGAGGACAACAGAGGAGCTGTTAGAAATTTAGAATGCATTATGGTCTGGGTGAAAGAAAGGGAGGGCTTCAGAAATGATTGCCAGGATGAATACTGGCCATCTGTTTTGGAACCAAATGTGCTGCTCTTTCTTGCAAATATGGAGGATTTGATGGCATACATTTTACCTTTTAACCTCAGTCCTACCCCCATTTGATATGTTACTTGTTTTCTTTTTGACTAATTTTTCTCATAAGTGGTATCTTCTATATCTGTATTGTATTTCTTTTTTTTATATGTTGTAAATCATTTTTGCTACACATTGATTGGGGTACATACATAAAAACAAACTGACAATTTTAGAGATCCTTCTTTCCAAATTATTGTAGTTTTGTTCATGGAATGTATGCCTTAGTATTTATAGTAAATGCCTTCTATACCATTAAAAAACTAAGATAGGGAAAGAGCAGACAGGAGGACAACCATAAAACTTTGTAGAAATGCTTTTTGTAAAAAATAAATGCTTTTTGTAAAAAAAAAATAAGGCTGTTAACACTGTGGGATAGAGGCTCAATAATAGTTTTTGCTTCAAGGAGCCTGCATACGCGGTTCTAGGAGAAGCAGGAAGTAAGACCTAGGTTATATGTCAGAATCATCCTAACTATTCTAAAGCTCAAGGCTAAGCTTGGGTCTAATTTCTTAAGTGACTGCAAGGCTTTCTGCCTGGAATTTTGTGAAGCTATCTTAACTAATCTTTGCTGATGACTGTGAAACAGAGAAATCTAAACCAGGCAGTTAGTGTGTTTGCTATGGTGGAAATAGGTAGGGTGGTAAGAAGATACCTGAGAAACAATATAATGTGATTTTTAGGAAGGTAAGAAAATAGATTTCATTATCTATTCTGTTTTCTGAATTTACAGAGCCTGCATTGATTCTAATGAAGACGGGGACTTGAGTAAATCTACTGTATTGAGAAACTACAAAGAAGCCCAAGAATATAGCTCTTTTGGCACAGCTGAGATGTTGAATTACTCCGTTAATATATATGATGATGGAAACCTGCTCTCTATTGTGACCAGTGGAGGTATTCTGTTTCAGATTTGTAATTAGAGTTAAGTTTACTAAGTGCAAGATGATAAATTCCTATAGCCAAAAGCAGCCTCATAGAGAATTTAATCTAGAGATTCCAACTGAAGAATCTCTAACTCTGGAATAATGAATGAGATTTGATTCCCTGGTGAGGTGTTGCTTTTCAAAGTCATAGTCATGTAGGATCTGCTCCAAGAGTAAAAGCATGGTCCGACCACAAAAAAATCCATCAGCATAATTCATCTAATGGACAATATTCCCTTCTAAATATTAACTCTTGAGAAATTACAACTTTTTAAAAATGGCACAGAATGCTGTAGTGAAGATATTTTTATGTGACTCTTTGTACTCTCAGGTGAAAATCTAAATACCCATCAAGAAAGTAATAGGTTTTTAAAAAATTGTGTTATTCATACTGTGGAATATTATACAACAGTCAAAACACAAATTTATATATACCTGTATTTATAAATCTCAAATGCATAAATTTTAATTTAAAATATATTGATGGTAAAACATTTGTGTAGTATTGTAAACCATGCCAGATAATAATACAGTGCTTTTGGGTAGGTGTGTTTGTGTTGTAACAATATGGATGGGAAGAGTATACACACCAGCTTCTGGGTTGTGGTTATTCCCAGTGAGGGAGCTCGGAGAATGAAGTAGGAAGGCCTTAACTCTTTATCACCCCCTCCCCAGCTTTACTAAGACATAGCTGAATGGCTGAAGTGCAATAATACCTACTGTGTGTGTATGTGTAATGCGATTTGATATGCTTTGATAGATGAGTACTCCCAGGAAACAATCCCCACAGTCACGATAATGAACATTTTATCACCCCCACAAGTTTGCTTGTCTTTCTTTGTAATCCAGTCCTGTCTCTACCCACACTCCCAGGTAGCCACAGAACTGCTTTCTGTCATACTAGATTAGTCTGCATTTTCTAGGATTTTATGTAAGTGGAATAAAAATACATTTTTTGGCTGCATTGTTTCAGAGTAATGGTTTGAAATTCGTTTATATTATGATTATAAAAAGCTTGTTCCTTATTGATGAGTAGTATTTCATGATGTGAATACATCATGGTTTGTTTATCCGTTCACCTGTTGATGGACATTTTGATTGTTCCAACACTTGTGTACGAGTCTCTTTGGAAATATGTTTTTGTGTAATTTGGAATGATATCTAGGAGAACTGTTTAGTTACAGTAGGCACATATTTAACTTGTTAAAAAACTCCTAGGCTATTTTCCATAGTGGCTGCACCCTCCACATTCCACCAGCAGAGTCTGAGTGCTCCAGAAGTTCCACATTCTTGTCCATACACGGTGTGGTCAGTCTGCTTAATTTAGCCACTCTAACTGGAAAAAAATAAGAAAGGAAGAATTGGTAATACTGGGTCCATATTCTCACGTGACAACAGTTGTCTGGAGTGGAAGGAGTCTCAGCGTTGCTGCAGACCCAGTTGGAAGAGTCATACATGCTCTCATTTTTCCTAGAGCTCCAACTATTCCAGTGTCACCCAAACATTAAGGCCCAATGCCAGTTGTCATTTATCATGTTTGTGTTATTGTTTATCTGACAGTGGCGGGATATTTCTCTCTACATATCTTTTAAGAAACTTTTTCCCTTAAAATAGAAAAAGGCCTAATTTTTTGTTTGTTTACTTCATTGGTACATAACATATATAGAGAAAAGCACCCAAATCACAAATTGCACATGCATTGAATTATCATAAATCGACACTTCTGTGTAGCCATCACCCAAGTCAAGAAAGAAAACATTGGCAAAACCCCCATTATGTCTCTTCCTAACCAACTCACCCTCCCTCCTCCCAGAGTTAACTACTGTCCTTATTTCTGTTAGCACATTAGTTTGAACCATCTGGTATTGCTGTTTTTATGGGTCAGATATGATTAAATAGCGGTAATTGCACATGGTTCAACTTTATGGTGATATTTCCATTTATATAAATACATAATTAAATCTATATCCTTTTGTGTGACTTCTTTAAATCAGCCTTATTTTTGTGTGCTTCATCTCATAGTGTATAAAAGTAGTTCACATTTATTGCTGTATAATACTCAATTCTGTGAATACACTATGTATCCGTGCAAGTTTTTGAATTTTATAAGCAATGCTGCCGTGAACATTTTTGCATTTGTCTTTTAATAATGTACATGTGCACACATTTCTGTTGGGTGCATAGCTAGAGGTGGAATTGCTAAATCATAGAGTATGCCTGTGTTCAGTGTTTCAAAATGCTAGTCTACTCTCCTACCAGCAGCGTGTGCGTGCACATCCCTACCATGGCTGCTGTTGTCAACCTTAAAGTTTCAGCCATTCTGAAAGGTACGCAGCTTTGATTTGCATTTTCCAGACAGACTAATGAAGTTGAACATCTTTTCATATATTTATGTACTATTTGGTTTTCCTCTTTTGTGAAATACTTTTCAAGTGTTTTTCCCATTTTTTTCTTTTGCATTCTTTTCCTTTGGATTTGAAAGGTTATATTCTGGATATAAGCTATTTGCCAACTGTATATATTGCAAATACATTCTCATCCTTGTGACTTGCATTTTTGCTTTCAGTGAACAGGTTAGAATCCAGGGTAGCAGAATAGTGTATGGAATTCAAAGAGTTTCATTTTTGTGAATTATTGATAAGAGAATTAAGGTAATAATATTAAATATTAAGATGAGAGTATATTTTTATTCAATTATTTTTATCATGATTAATGCTCGAATTGAATGGTTAAAACTTTGAATCTGTGAGTATTTTGTCATATTCCCCTCTTTTTGCCTCTAGGAGCTCATGGAACACATGTAGCTAGTATAGCTGCTGGGCATTTTCCAGAAGAACCTGAACGGAATGGTGTAGCTCCTGGTGCCCAAATTCTTTCAATCAAGATTGGTGATACAAGATTGAGCACAATGGAAACAGGCACAGGCCTTATAAGAGCTGTGAGTATTTGTGAGGTGTTGATTTAAAAGATTAGTGATTGATGATCTTGGATATTTTTACGTTTATAAAGTACTCTGGGCCTACCGAGAATATTTTTCAGTTTTATTAAAATTACTAGAATAAAATTTCTTGGAAAATAGAAAAATATTATTTATATTATACTTCTCATTTCTAGTAAATCTAGCAAGGTGTTGTGAGATACTTTAAAACAACAAGAAAGGTCTCTTAGCCAGCATGCTCCATCAGCCTAAGTAGAACTTAACTAATATTCTACATTTCATTTTAACATGAATTACATTTTACTGTAACTTTTGTGATTTTAGAATTAGGTAAGAACCATTCCATTTTCTCTTCCTGTCCCCTACTCCATTCTGCAAATGCCAGTTTTGTGTTTTATAGATTACTTACTGTACTCTGTCTCCCTCTACCTTTTAAAAAGTTTATTAACCATATACCAAGAAGTAACATATATTTGGATTTGAATTAGAATATGATTGGTTAAGAAACTGAGATTCTATGCCTTTATTTTACTGGTCAATCTGTTTCTGTACATTGCTGCCTAAATTAGACTCTTCATCTTTTTAATAGATGATAGAAGTTATAAATCATAAGTGTGATCTTGTCAACTACAGCTATGGAGAAGCAACTCACTGGCCAAATTCTGGGTGAGTGTTCTTTGACACTTGTTAGCCATAGAAACTTAGCTGATGAAGAGCATGAAAAGCTTTTCATAACTGGGTTGCAAATCATAATTGAAAAAAAGCAGCCACTGTGGTTAGATGATAACTATGTCTCCTAGACCTTTGGCCCTCATTCCTGTGGTCATATCCTTGATGTCCTTATTTCCTCCTACCCAGGGAGACCCCATGCCCCTTCTGTCACTAGAATTCCTCATCCACAAGCAGCCTGAACTCTTCCAGGTGTCATTACCTGACCAGACTCCACCTTGTGGAAACCTTGTCATCATTCCTTTCAGTGATCCCACACCTGATCTGCCAGCCTTTGCTGGAGACACACTGACTTCGCACTTCAAGTTTGAGACCACAGATGTCAGATCATTGTCTGAGCACACTGCATTTACTCTTTTCCTCCTGTATGACCATTTTGCACCTCCTCTTCTCCTAAAAGACCTTCAGTGACCCCTCTTTTCTCAGTAAAATCCTCCCTCACCTCTTTTTCCCCAAAGAGAATAAAAGCACTCAGCAGGAGACTTAGTGCCCTTCCTGTGACCTCCTCTGACCCTACCTTCTCTGCCTTCCCTGCTGTGTAATGGAAAAAGTGCCAGGATCAAAAGTCACTCAAGCCCTTGGCATCTGGTCCTTCTTTCCTCTCTCCTGGATTATTATTGCCACAAATAATTTTAAAGAGTCGTCAGCTTTAAAACACAAAACCTCTTCATTTCATACTGCTTCCACTGACTTTTCCAGGAACACTTAGTTTTATATATTTACTTTTTGAGTCTCCTCCTGACTACTCCCTGTGTCATCAGTGTCTTCCTGCTGCCAAATCCAGTGGCTTAGTCTTGACCTCATGTTACCTCACCTTTTTTTCTTCATAGTAGTAACTTTAAAATTACCTTATTTAGAATATTTTCCTATTGACCAGTTCCCCCCTCCCACCACCAAGCCATTCATACATAGCTATCCAGTGTCTGAAACTCTTTAATAAAATCCTTCCGAAGTGCAAATTTTACCAAGCCCAGACCCTGTAGTTTCTTTTATCAGATAACTTAATTTTTTCAGATCACTAGAACTCCTGGGTTTCTAGTTGCACGTCCCTTGCCTGCCCTTGTAGCGTGCACCCTGTCATCCTTGGTGGTTTTTCTCGTGAATGCAGTCTTAACCCTGCTTTGCTCCAGATGCTCCTCCTTTGATTTTCATCCATTTGAAGTCATTTCCCCTGATATCTCTTCTTTCTCATTTTGGAGTGTCGTTGGCCCTTTACCTTTGTTATATTGGCTCCATTTTCTTCATGGTCTAACTACGTCTCCTTTAATTAATACGAGTACATATTTCTTGTTTGTTATCAAGATCTAACCAGATTTCTCATATTTTAAATCTTACTCTTAAGTTCTCCCTAGTGCCTTCTTTCCCCTTCACCTCTGTCACTAATCACAAATATATATAGGAATCCCCAGAGGAGTCCTTTCTGAATATATTATTTTAGGTGGGGGATGGAAGTGAAACCACCTATTGCCCCCTCACTACCCAATCACTGCTCTTCATTCCGTATTTGCTCTCAGTCTTTTGTAGTTTCCCCATGTATATTCAATTTTGTATCTGGAATTTTCCCACATTTAACCTGGCCTCACAACTGCTTCCCAACACTAAAACCCAACTAGGCTATATTACCTGGAGTGGCTGTATCATGTTCCACCAATGGTGGGTGGTGCCAAAAGTTACTTAACCATACATTTGAACAATATTTTGGTATTATAAATACTTTTGGAATAGAGGCTAAGCATTTATAGTTTGAGAATGTCCCCTGAGTGATTCTAATGCATACTTCCTTATTTATACCCACTGTTTTATTTCTACTACTTGGAACCATATTTTAGTCTAGCTTTTTATATAAACCATATCTGTAGATATTTTCACATAGTAATAGAGATTTTGAAAAGTGGGACAGTTTTTTATGTTCAATGGAATTCTCTCTCTTTCAGGAGAATTTGTGAAGTAATTAATGAAGCAGTGTGGAAGCATAATATAATTTATGTTTCAAGTGCTGGAAATAATGGTCCATGCCTTTCTACAGTTGGTTGTCCAGGTGGAACTACATCAAGTGTAATAGGTTAGTTTCCTGTTTTAGAAATGGACTTGTTTAAAAATAAACAAAACAAAATAAACCCTCAGTTAATCCAGTGTTAATTGGATCTCTTGTATGCAAGACACCATAAACCTTAAATACACCCTCAGGAAACTGAAATCTAGTAGGGGCCTGCTGATCTGGAATTTACTCTGAAGTAGACTGGAATAAGTGGTTGAATGGAAGTACAGATACAGTGCTGTGGGACACAGAAGTGCAGCCACTTCTGATTTGAGAATTTAGGTAAGGCTATTTGGAAGAATTGTGGGAATGAGGATTTCAGTTGGTAGAAATGATCGAAGAAGGAGCTTTCCAGACTAAGTAAACAATGTAAATAAAGGCACTTGCTTTACTTTTTATTTATAGTGTGAGACTAGTTATTTATAGTATAGTTTTCTCCTTTAATTTCTCTTGGGACATGCAGAAATATCCAGATGTAGAGGAAGGGAGCTCTATTAATGAGAAATGCTGCTGAAACACATTTGTTCCATGAATGTGGCTTTTCTGCCACTCTTTGTTTTTTAGATATGCTTGTAGTGTTGTCTGTTTCACTGTAATCTAAGGGGAAAAATGCCCATCAACAAGAGTTATGGGAAATCAAAATTAGTTGCAGTCATTGTATGAAAATAATACAGTTAGCTTACATTATAGTTCAGTAGCTGCCAACTTATGTAGGAAAAACCCACAAAATATAAAACCCATCCCCTGTTTTAAAATGTGCAGCATGAATGAGAAAAATGAATTGAGAGAAACAAGTATGTAGTAAGATGCCTAAAATTTTTTGCTTATTTTTATTTGAGATCAAAATAAGGTTTCTACCTTTTGATATTTGCGATTGGATACATAACTATAAAAACTATGGATCTCAAATAATTTTTCTGGCGTATATATCAATAATTGCATAGATACATGTACGTATTATAGATGTTGTTGGTATGTAGATACTAACATTTGGGTATTAAAGTTTCATATTTGGTCCCTTAAAGATTTTTTTGTTTTAAAATAAGTGATCTTACAAATATAAGATAAATATAAACGTAAGACATACTTTTATTCATAGCTTCTACATTTTAAGGTATAGCTTACTTTATGTAACTTAAAACCTCTTGCTTAAGTGGTTTGTTAAATCATGTGTTAAGACCACAGTGCCTACCAGTGGTACATTCATTGTGTATTTCAGTTATCTAGATATTGTAAGTACACGCGAAAATGAAACAAAAAATAGATCTGAAAGGTATCTAAAGATCAAGTTTACTGCTCTGCTCTAATACTCATTGTTTTGTTGTTTTCTTATCCTCAGTCACTGAAAATTTTAAACTAAATTTTACAGAATAATTGTAGTTTTATGTGGCAGCATTGTTAACCTAAGTCCTCTTAACTCACACATGTTTTATCCAGTCTTCTACTCTGAATATGTGTATGTTGTAAATTAGATGCTGTTAGACCTGAATTCTAAATCTTTTCTCTGCCAGCCATACATGTGTATTTTGTACATTTTTTCAACCTTTGTAGGCCATGTTTCCAAATTTCTAAAATGAAAGAGCCAAGTTTGATCCCTGTATTGTGTTTCAGACTCTAGTGAGACTTTATTTGCGTGTTTATCTAGAAGCCTGGCATGTTATGTCCTTGTGTTTTACTCATTATTATAGCCATTTTTGAGGAGAGGGATACTGCCAACTTTATCGGTAGAGTTTTGAATAGAATGGTCATTTAAAAATGACCAGTCAACTAATTCCTTTACTTTTCTAATGCTGTATTTTATAGTTTAAAACACATTCCTCTTTTCCTTTTACACCTGTATATACTTGCAGGTACATTATTATTTTTAATCAACATAATCATGCTGATAGATATTTTATATTAAAAAACAAGGCACCTAGTATGATGTCTGGTACACGGCAAACTTTCCTAGGTTGAGTTTTTTCTTTTCATTTCCCAGTGAGCGGTGGATTAGAATTAAGATTCGTGCTTTGTGTCCTTTCATTAATGATGGTGTTTGCCCACAGGTGTCGGTGCTTATGTTTCACCCGATATGATGGTTGCCGAGTATTCTCTGAGAGAAAAATTACCCGCCAATCAATATACGTGGTCTTCTAGAGGCCCCAGGTAGGTTGGGGGTTGGACATGGGTTATTCCAAATCCGTGGTTGGGCTTTACATGGTGGGATGATTTTACCAATCCTATTAGTTGTTACTTGAGCACTTACATGCAGCACATCTCATTTCACACCAACTTCACAGGACCAGTCTAGTGGCTGCCGTCTTGGACAGCTAAGGTCAACAGGGCTGCCTCGTGTAGGGCTTTGGTAAGTGGGTATAATGAGTTGAAGTTGGTAGAGTTCACTGTATACACATATATACACAGATTTTGTCCATTCGGGAGGGAAAAATTGCTGCTTAATGGGGAAATAGTTGTGCTGGGTATTTTTCCCCACTGATTCCAGTGACTTCAAGTAGTCCATGGTATTGTACTGTAATTTATTAGATCAGTGGCCTTTTTAAGAACTCCCATGTTTATCCATTTTTCATCATTGTAAGCAAACTAATGGCTTTCCATTCAGTGCTGATGGGGCCCTTGGAGTAAGTATCAGTGCACCAGGAGGAGCCATTGCTTCTGTTCCTAACTGGACACTGAGAGGAACGCAGCTAATGAATGGGACATCCATGTCTTCTCCCAATGCATGTGGAGGCATTGCCCTGATACTATCAGGTAAGGATATTTCTTAGTGTACTATGTGGTACTATTTTTGAATTTCCAATAAAGTGATGGTGAATATTTGGCTATTGCAAATATATTTCAATCACAACTTAATTTTCTTAATGAGATAGAAATGGCTTTATAAAATGTATTATAAATGTATCATCTTATAATTTACCTTAGTCCTGATTCTGAAGTCTATAATTTATTGGTAATGTTAGATGTAGTTATTAAGTAGACAAATTTCTGTGTATAGCATAAAATAAAATTAGCAGCCTTAAAAATAATTGAATAAGTTTATTTTCTGAAGTTCTTACAGTGAGAAAATGTGGTAGAATTGGTAATGTTCTGGCTCAAAGTAAAGTTTGAGGTGGAGAATAATTTATGTGATAACAATGATTTAGATATGCTTTCCTTCATTCAACAAATACATTTACTTATTGGCTGTTAATGACTGTCAAGCATTATTTTAGCTCTGAGGCTAAATTAGGGAACAAAATTGCAAAAATACCTGGAGTTTATATTATAGTTGGGGGAGACAGACTATGAACAAAATAAGAAATAGTTCATATCACTTGTTAGAAGGTAATGAATGTTGCTCTGGGGCAAAATGAAGTGGAAAGGGAAGTAGGAATTCCACTGTGCAGGAGGCTTACAGTGTTGTGTAGGGTGGCATTGACATTGACTAGGACTTGAAGTTAGGGTGGCCAGGCTGTGGTGACGGTTCCACCTCAGAAGTGCCCCTCTAATCTAAGTCCCTGGACTTATTACCCTTATCAGTAGTCCTGTTCAACCTCACCAAATATTTCAAGGTTGCTCATGCCTGCTGTCTTTGGTTATACTGTTTTCTTTGCCTAGAATTCCTTTCTGCCATTTTTTGGCCTTGCAAACTCCTGTGCATTTTAAAGATCTGACTCATGTATCTGTTCCTCTGATAGAGCTTCACCTTATTTGCTCTTAAAGCAACGTGATATTTCCATGTTTATTTTGCTCATTTCTTACAGTATCACAAGTGCTTACAGGTTTGTTGAGCTCTGGAGCAAGCAGGAGCACTACCTTACTCATCTTTGATCTTTAACAACAGGCATTAATGCAGGGTTTACAGATTGGTGGCCTCCATGCCCTTCCCATAGAATAGTCATTCCCAGCCTGAGTGCTCCTTAGCCTTACCTGGGAAGCTTTTATTCTATATCAGTGCCTGGAATCTAGTTCCAAAGATGCTAATTTGATTCGCCTGTGGTGAGGCCTCAGCATTTCTTTTGCTTAAGTTCTGTTGGTCTGGTGTTTATAAAACATGAAACCAGGATGAAAACTACTGCCTGTGACTCTACAGGGTGGGGCAAAAGTAGGTTTACAGTTGTTCATAAGGAAAATAATATGATAATTAATAAATGATAATACAAGAATAAACTATGTTTCATGCAGTCACAAGTGAAAGCCTACTTTTGCACAGTCCTGTATTGTTTGACCAGCAGCTTTAAAGCAAATGTCTTTGGAATGCCTTTAGGTATCTGCTTCATACAACCACATTATCTCTGCCTAGCCTGCGTTCACACCCTTGCGTAATGGGCCCACAGTCATTTTCTTAAATTAGTCTTTGTGTGATGCCAGCAGTTTTGGTCAGACTATTTAGTTCAATTTTTGTTTGTGTGTGTGTGTGTGTTTCAAGATTTAAAAATGGATATTGTAGCATCAGACATGAAAGCCAGGGAATGTACATGTTATCTGTACTGGTGAGGGGGTAAAGGCTTCAAGTAGTGAGCTCACTAACATTTTCTTCTGGTTTTTGTTTTTAAATTTTAGGTCTGAAAGCTAATAATGTTAACTACACAGTTCATTCAGTGAGAAGAGCTCTAGAGAACACTGCAGTGAAGGCTGATAATATAGAAGTATTTGCGCAAGGGCATGGTATTATTCAGGTATTGTTTGTGTGAAAAATGAGTTGTAAGTCATTAAGATAATATCTTAGCTATTGCTGGATAATATTTCCTGTTATAATGATGACTGGGTATATATAATTCTAGATTATATCATAATAGTGGTCTCTGAACTATAAGCAAAGAGGATATGAACATAGATTTCTTAGTTAAGACAACTTTGTTGCAGTAAGAGAAATATAATTCACGTAGGACACACAGAGGGTAGAAATTCGAAGCAAAGAGGTAAAGGGCAAAAACTGGTACATCATACTGGCATATGAAAGAGTTCTTAACTTTGGTCATGTGGGAATAATAGTGTGAATGAAGAGATTGGAGGGGAAGGTGAGTCCAGTAGTTAGAATTGCCCTCTTAATTTTAGAGAGCTGAATATAGAAACTAACTTTTTGCTTGTACTTTGCCACAAGTGAAATCAAATTGGTAACTTGTAACAAAATATTTTCTTGACCTAACCATTTGTCTTACTCTCTGTGTTCGTATAATTAGGTTGATAAAGCGTATGACTACCTCGTTCAGAATACATCATTTGCTAATAAATTAGGTTTCACTGTTACCGTTGGAAATAACCGTGGCATCTACCTCCGAGATCCTGTTCAGGTGGCAGCACCTTCAGATCATGGTGTTGGTATTGAACCTGTATTTCCAGAAAATACTGGTAAGTAATAAGTGGATGGTAAGCTGAAGTGCTCACATTTATGGTTTGAGTGAATAGTATCATAATAGAGAAATGCTGTTTGGGCTAATATTCTAAAGAAAAAAACATGAATTTACAATATTATTATTTTAAAGCTTACAGATTTTAGGGAAAAGGTGGCACTTAGGGATTCTAATACTATGGCAATTCAGTTAGCATTCTGACTACTGAGGAAAATAACAGAATGGGCCTTCAGTGACCTATATTTTTATTCAATTGTGGATAATAAGACATCAAATTTCTTTTCTTTCCCACTTTCACTACTTGGGTATAAGATAGAGCTTTTGGTTGGAGAGTGGGAAGTAGAAGCAGCCAAGAGAACCTCCCTCAGCTCAATGGAGGTATAAATAAAACACTAATCACTCTGTATTTGTCAGTCTTCATGTTGGCCAAATGCTGTTTCCACATGCAGTAATGAAAAATATCCACAAAAACTCCTTATATTAATTTAAGGCTGTAGCAGTGTTGGGTGAAAGTGTGAATGTATCACAAGTGTACAAAAGCATAAGGAAGATTCTGTGATTTTTATTTAAGCTGTGTTTTAGAAGCTCATGCCTAGTGCTTTTTATAAATTTGCTGAATTTTCTTGAGAGAAGATAGAACTTTTTTAAATGAAAGGGAAAGTACTAATCTTTAATTTTTAATTTTTTTTTTTAATTCCAGAAAACGCCGAAAAAATATCCCTTCAGCTTCATTTAGCTTTAACTTCAAACTCATCTTGGGTGCAGTGTCCTAGCCATTTGGAACTCATGAATCAATGTAGACACATAAACATACGTGTGGACCCCAGGGGCTTAAGAGAAGGATTACATTACACAGAGGTATTGGTGTATCTTCATATTTTTACTTTCTTTACCTTTAAAATGCTTAAAAGTACTTTGTGTTGCAGTCCTTTTCCCCATTAGTCTGAATTAGTCAAGGGTTGTCCTACATGTATTCGTTTAGGCTATTTGCCATTAATTATGTGACCTGACATCAGAAAATTGATCAACTTGTGCTTAGGGCCTTTAAATTTTCATATCAGATTAATTTATTCTGTGAGTAGATCATACTTTTTTTTTTTTCTTTTTTCTCTGTTTAAAGTTTATTTATAGATACTGAAACTTAATATTCTGTTTTTAAGGTATGTGGCTATGATACAGCATCCCCTAATGCAGGCCCTTTGTTCAGAGTTCCAGTCACCGCAGTTATAGCAGCAAAGTAAGTAACAAGTTACCAACAAACAGCTCACTGTTACCTGTACAGTTTATAGCTGACCCTTGAACAGCATAGTTTTGAACTGTGCACATCCATTGACATGCAATTTTTTCAATAAATACCTGTACTGTTTTCGATCCACAGTTGGGAGTCCACAGATGCGGAGGGCCGACTGTGCCCTGATCTATACCATTTTATACAGGGGGCTTAAGCGTCTGTAGATTTTGGTATCCATGGGTGGTCTTAGAGCCAATCCCCTGTGGATACTGAGGGACAACTAAGTTTTGGGGGAGTAAAAAGTTATATATGGATTTTTTTACTGCTTGTAGGGTCAGTTCCCCTAAACCCAATGTTGTTCAAGGGTCAACTCATTTTTTAATGGCTTTTTATGAAAATAATGTGAACTTTTAAAGGATTAATGGGCAGGAACCAGATACTAGGCTTTGGTTCCCCTCCTTGCTCAAAGTCCAAGGTGGCACAGAGTCAGTCCTGTTATTCCTTGTTCGCTGTGGGGATGTGATGGTTCCTGTCCTCTGCCCTGACCCTGCACTGAACCTGCTTCCCCCGGATGCTGACGCACTTCTGACTGCCCGATTCAGAGGACCTCCTAGCCTTTCGTCTTGCCCGCTCTCTCTGCAACATGTGACATGCGACTTCTCCCTCTTCTGCCCCCACTCCATTTTAACCCCCTTGTCTCTGGGATTACTATTTTTCCTGGGTCTCCCACTTTTCCAGTCACCTGCTGTTTTCCACACTCTTCGCCTTCTATCTTGTTTTCCACCTGGAACCAAGGAACTCAAGGCTGATCATATTACTTCCTATTTAAATACATCAGTGGCCTGTTCAAGGACCAAGTTATGCTCCTTAAAATAGCAAATAAGGATCCGTTACAAGCCAGTGTTTCCTGTCATTTGTACACCAGATTACACATTTCCACAGGTCACAGACGCTGACACTCTGGGTTTCCTCAGGACTGCATGCATTTGCACAGCTCTTTGTATTGCTCTGGTTTCCTGTCTCTTAACAACCAGGTGTGTCCTTGGTCTTCCCCAGGTGAAGGGCGTCCTTTCTTGCTCCTTTCTAATGCATTTTGCATGCCTGCAGTACAGACTTGGAATATATTGTCACTTTTTATTTAATTTACCACATTTGACTGTGAGCCTACTGAAGAAGACACAGAGACTGTATCTTATATGTTTGTATATGGAGCCCATTATACAGTATTTACTAAACAATATGTTTAGTAGATGAAGGGTAAGATTGAGATTATGTGAGTATTGGAAATAACAGAATGTTCTAATTTAACAGTTTCTGTGGAGTTAGTTACACTGGTAAATATTAAATACCCAATAGTCTTAGCCCATAAGAAACACAGGATTAAATTGCGGAGGTAAAAAGTGACATACACATGAAAAATTGCATGACAGTTCTCACCTTATGTTTCCTAGAAGTCCAGTAGGAGCTTAGACAAGGTAAAGTATAAAGTTCAGGAATCAACTGAGACATTATCTCCTTCAGGAAGCTTTCCCTGGTCCGTTTGCATGAACCAAATCTCTTTTCTCCTAACACTTCCTGTCTAGCTAGAGCATGTCACATTAAATGTCTCAGGTGGTTTTTTGTCCCCTCTGGATTGTCTGTGGCAAAGGAAAATATTTTATTCATTGTTGTATTTGTAACTCCTAATAACAGTGCCTTATGTATAGTAGGCTCTCATTAAATTTTTGTCACACTGACTAGAATTTGTTCTTAGCCTGCACTTTAGGTTTTCATAGTAGGTAATTATACATTAGACCTTTATGTTTCATTGGCTTCTTACAAAAATGCTATGAAAGTGGTTCCTTTCTTTACTGTTCCTTTCTTTATGGTCTGAAAATATTTTGAGCTACAAAAGAGGATTTATTTAATACCAGTCTCCAAGCTATAATCAGTACTAATGACATAAAACATTACCTTTGATGTTAATATTTAGAACTCACTATAGCCCAGATTCTGGTAATTGGAAAATCCTGTGAATGTAGCACAGTTTCCTTAAAAAAAAAGTGAGCTTTCCTATTTTGTGTGTGTGTGTGTGCGTGTGTGTGTGTGTGTGTCTGTGTCTGTGTCTTACAGGTTATAAAGCAGACAAGTAAAAGGTAGAAAAATCATCTTTACTGGGCTAGCCAGGGTTTATCTCTGCTAACATTGCAAAAATGAGATTGTAGTATGCGTACTGTTTTGTAAACAGCTTTTAAGTGTTTATTTCTAATGAACTATTAAAATATAGAGTACCAGTGGGCTTATAATTAATTAAGGCCTTTTTTACGAGATTATCACATTTAATCATTAATTTGTATTACTTTTCAGAGTAAATGAATCATCACATTATGATCTAGCCTTTACAGATGTACATTTTAAACCTGGTCAAATTCGAAGGCATTTTATTGAGGTTCCTGAGGGTGCAACATGGGCTGGTAAGTAAAATTAAAGCCTGTATTGAGCACTTTATGTACATCATCCTACCTCTTTTATGATTATGCCTATGTAAAGTTCCTACATCTGTAATACATATTTTTCTAATAACAATACTATATCTGGCACTCTAGATTTGCTATTAGGTTCAGAACGTTTTGAAGATCTAGTAATATTTTGCATTTGCTTTTATATCCAATCATCTAAGCCATCTTAAGGTGTTTTAATATTCAAGATTTTAACTTAGTTTAGAATAGTGCCTTATCTGTTAGTGATTAGAATCAGAATTGCATTGTTGTACAACTCTGGGCTGCTGTGCATGCATATAGAGCCCCTTGTAGATATCTCACGTTAGGCTCTGATAAAATATACATTAATCATGTTAAAGAATAAAAATCTATGGTTAATATTGAATCTGGAATCATTTTAATGGTAAATATTAGTATTATAGTGCTGTAATTATGATTTGCTTAGACTGGTGTTGAAAATAGTTAGTTTTTTGTGTTTTTTTAAAAATAAGAATTTATCAGATGATCCAGAAGGGAAGGAGATTGGAGCACTTAACAGTCTCAGGTTAGAAATGCACTGCAGGGGGTGGAGGAAATGGGAAAATGTTGGTCAAAGAGTACAAACTCAGTATGAGTCAGTTCGAAGGAGTTAACATCCAGCATGGGGACTGTGGTTAACAGTACTGTACTGTACACTTGAAATTTGTTGAGAGAGAAGATTTTAAATGTTCTCACTACAGAAAGAATTGGTAACTGTGATATATGTGCTAACCCACCTTATTGTGTTAAACATTTCACAGTGCATGGGCATATCAAGTCATCACATTGTACACTTTAAACATATGCAATGTTCCTTGTCAATTTGATCTCAGTCGGGTGGAAGAAGTAGTCAAAGCAAAACAAACAAAAGTACAACAGATGATACCTATTTCAAATAATAAGAAATACTGTTATAACACCAGGTCTTGTATTATTAGCAATTGATCAGATTCACAGAGCTCTGTCCCAACTTGACCTTGTGAACCGGAGAATTAGGCCTTGCTTCGCTCCCTCTGTTAGAGTGGGAGGGTACTCAGTGGCTGAGCTGCTGACCTTGCTCAGGCGATTTGGGCCTGCCTCCACCTCTGCCTCGGGATAAAGCTCAGCATACATAGTTCTGACATCATCCCTTCTAGAGCCAGACTGGACACAAGTGAACCAAGAGGGAGGGACTCAGAAGAGTTATCAGTGAAGTTGAATAGAAACTAATGGAATTTAAGTATGATGACAAGTAGAGGTTTCTAGAATTAAAATCCTCTATCAGGAATTGCTTGGCTTTCAACTAAAACAAGAGGAAAGGTTGAGCTTAGCAGAGGAGAGAGGGATTTTAAAAGGTACCTGATTTAGGATAATTGTGTGTCCACCTATGGAAAGCTTTCTGTTTCATGGTGTTTGCAGCACAGTGTTTATTTTAACACTGGTTTATTTATTTTCCATAGCTGAATCTTCTATACTTTCAGCTTTATGAATACTCTATTGATTCTTTGTTTTTAAGGAAATATGCATATTTATTTTGAATATATCATTTCATTATTGATATATTATTTCCTAATAAGTGGGCATTCTTAAAACCATTTTATGTCCATTTTAAATCTTACCAGTTTAAAATTTTGCTTCTTTTTTATTTTAGAAGTTACAGTGTGTTCTTGTTCTTCTGAGGTGTCTGCCAAGTTTGTTCTTCATGCAGTACAGCTTGTGAAGCAGAGAGCATACCGAAGCCATGAATTCTATAAGTTTTGTTCCCTTCCAGAAAAAGGAACACTGACTGAGGCTTTTCCTGTCTTAGTAAGTTTTAATAATTTGAAATTCTGAAATGATTTCTTTTCGTTTTTGGTGTGGACTAAGTATTTGAATTTGATTTTTATATTCAGAATTTCTGGGGGCTGCATATTTTGTTAATGCCAAATAAATGAAGTAGAAAGATAGGTAGTCTAGTTAGGATACTTAAGACCAAGTCCGAGGTAAATATTAATCTCTTTTTAACTCTTAAATATTTAGTCAAAGGAGAGTGTGGTCTGATAGACACTGGCCCCTTGCATTGGGGACCCTGATCGATACGGGCTCCTCATCCCACAGTAGATTATTTCCTTATTGAAGATGGTTCTACGGTCACTTAAGTTATTTTATTACTGCCCTGTTGTAAAGAATCCATGAGGTTAATTTGCTTTCTAGGTGAAACTACTACTGCTTCCTACAGAAATTACTTCAAATATGGCAGATCTCCATTCTTACCAGTAGTGTTAGAAATAATGACTAGACCTTTCTTCATAGAAGGTGAATGTACTGATACTTTCTTAAACTTGTAACATTGTGTTTTCGGTTGGTTATATGGCTTTTCCTGTATCTTTCTGATCACTTTCACTAGTGTTCATGTATGTATCAGTGTTGTGATTCATCTTTAAACTTTCTAATATACTGATTTCTAGAAAACTTAATTTAAAACTGAGCACTGGGAACAGTTTTTGTTTTTCATTATTTTAATAGGGAGAAAGATGTTAGTGACGATAATGTCATTTTGCTTTGGTTGCCATGCAGCTCTGAGCCTGAAACTCAGCTGTGGCTATTGAATATGCCTTATAAAGCTGTAATACCCTTTCTCCTGTCATATTTCCTTTGGTTCTAGATTTTTATTCCAGTTTGTTTTCACCATTATTTTATTGTATATGTTTTCAAAATCTGCCAAGATCTTTTATGACAAGCACTGTAGGATTATGTGTATTTAAATGTCTGCACTACATCCCTACAAGTGTAATTTGCATAACTCTAAGCTTAGTTAATAAGTTGTGTTTTCTTGCTTTGCTATAAAAATAGGAAAAGTTTGAAAGCATACACTTGCTTTGAAACACCTGTTGTTTATATTGTATAATATGAAAGAATTTGAGAACAAAGATTATTTACACATTTGTAATTTTCTTTCTCTTTGCAGAGTGGGAAAGCAATTGAATTTTGCATTGCTCGTTGGTGGGCAAGTCTTAGTGACGTCAATATTGATTACACCATTTCTTTCCATGGGATTGTGTGTACTGCTCCTCAGTTAAACATTGTGAGTTCTGCATTTTCATTATTTTTAATGTCAGTTATTTATGTTATTGAAAAATAATATCACTGGTTGGATTTAAACTTCAGTTGGGAAATTACCTGTAGTTCTGAAAATAACCACAGATAATTTAAAAGTATTGATGTTCTTGGATGCTTATAAACTTTGCATTAGATGTTTATTTTATGTCCAAATATTGCTTTAAAATACAGTTTATTTTCAATGAAGTTTTGAGAAACTAATTTGATAAATATTCTTCATAGCATGCATCAGAAGGAATCAACCGTTTTGATGTTCAGTCCTCCTTGAAATATGAAGATCTGGCTCCCTGCATAACTTTGAAGAGCTGGGTGCAAACACTACGGTATCATTAAATGTTTTAGGCTTACAGATGTTGAGTATTGATATGGGGGAGGGAGGATCTCTTACACTCTTTGAAGAGAGTCGTTTTCTTAAATCCATCTGAATGCTGGAGATAAAAATTCAGATTATGACACTCTAGCCTCAGAATTTTGGCAGGTCTCTTGAGAGGCAACCCCATCAGTGGCTTCCAGCATTAATGTGGATGTAAAATTTTCAATGCACCTGGCAGGACCTATCCTGTGAGGACGATCACCATCTGCAGTCAAAACCTGTCCTTCAACACTGTTAGTGATTGTCACCCTAGCATTGGGATCTGATTATATTAAGGACTGTTTGTTGACATTTGAGAATGTTTTTATCATGAAAAGATTACCTTTGTAATATTACAAATTTTAAACTATATTATCTTTTGCTGTGGTTCAGTCAGTAAAGAATTAGGTAAGGTAATGATTAAAATTTTATAAAATATACTGAAAATGACAGTGTTTAGGAATACTTGTCACTTGTGATATGTTATAGATTTTGTTAATTATAGTTTTGTCTCATTAAATGAATTTTTGAATCAAATCATATATGAATCACTTAATTATAGGCCACTCAGTGCGAAAACAAAACCTTTAGGATCAAGAGATGTTTTGCCAAATAATCGTCAACTTTATGAGATGATTCTTACCTATAACTTCCATCAAGTAAGTGTCTTTATAATAAAGTGTGCTTTTACAGTGAACTTTAGTGTTTTGTTTATGAATCATAAAATTTAAAAATGGAAGAGTGGTATATTCAGTGTGTGTGTGTGTGTATATATATATACATATATATATATATATATGAAACAGAATCAGGTAATTAACAGTAGTTAATTTGGAATTCTTCTCTGAGAAATTATGATTTGTAGAGATCTAAGTACCATTCAAGTCTGAAGTCACAAATTCTAATTTGTGGTGGCCTGGCCTTTGAACCTTAGTTTTTGTAATCACTGAATCTGTTCAATGGTACCTGACCAGTATTACCTACCCAGTGGTTAGGTGTCTCATCTAACCCAGATGCCTTCTGAGTGTGGTGGTAGTTGGCCTGCTTGCTTTCTGTGAAACAGGCTTTGGAGCAGTGAGACATTAGAATAATTCTTTGGTTGAATGAATGGTAAAAGTAGTTGAGGCCAGTGTAAATGTTGGATCAAAGAGATTATATAGGATCCATAAGATTTCAATAAAACTCTTATTGAAACATAATATTTGGGAGATGATTTCTTTCAATGAATTATAAAATTTCAGTTTTATAAAGAAAATATATACTGCTTTATTAATGAATACAAATGGCTAGGTTTGTATTTTTAAATCTTTGTACAAGAGAAGTACCTTTTATTAGTGCCAAAATACTGGATGTTCTACATTTTTGAAATTGGCTACCATAAGAAAATATTTTAATACTTTTAATGTAAAAGTCTCATCAATAACAATACTACAAATGTATATTAGAAATCATGTAAACCAGGTCAATTAATAATTCTGTGTGTTTTTTTTTATAGCCCAAGAGTGGGGAAGTAACTCCTAGCTGCCCACTACTTTGTGAATTATTATATGAATCAGAATTTGACAGCCAACTCTGGATCATATTTGACCAGAATAAAAGACAGATGGGTTCAGGAGATGCCTATCCACATCAGGTATGAAATTGGCAGTGATTTTTAGAGTTAACAGAGCTGTTTTTTGAACGAATGAATTACTGGTTTCTTGTTATGGAAATGTTTGTTTTTGTTTTTTAATGTCATAGTTATGCATCTAGTACTTTGAGACATCACTAGAAGCTCAGTTTCCGTTGTAGAACAGACTGGGACAACTTTTCAGCCATGTAGTTCAGCTGAATTAAGTTTCGAGGTAGACGGGGGCAAGGATGACATAGGCACTGGCAGCATAGCTTTTTATTTTTAGTATTTTTCCTTTCCACCCACTGCTTCCACCCATCTGAAGGTTGAAGGCAAATCATTTGATATATGTGAGCACCTAGAAATGATCCTAGGTCTTAACTGGATGAAGAGCACTACAGCAGTGCCTAGTGTTTTCAATTTATTAGAATTTTCAAATTTATTTTTTCATTGGACAACTGTGTATTGAGCACTTTCTGTATGCTAAGCACTGTGTTTGGCACTATTGTATTAAAGAAAAAGCATAGCCTTTTAATCATAATTTATGGAAATTTTATCCCATTGAAATATTGTTGTAAGGAAATAAGGTAAATCCTATAAAATTTATAATTTTATACTAAATAATGAAAATGATGTATGCAAAGTTTCTTTTTTAGTTAGTCATTCAAGGAATGATTTTCTTTTGTTCTCAAAGCAAGTACCAGTCACATCTTCCCAGTACAGACTGATTATTGCAGAGCCATTACTTTAGTCGGTTGCTTTTAAAATCTCGTCAGAAGAAACTGCTGATGCAGAATACAGCATCCCATCCTCTCAGGCAGGTTAACTAGGTGGAGCATAATAGATCTGTATTCCTTCATCTCTTGGCTCCGATCAGCAATAAAGCGATGTGGCATTTTGATTATAATAGATTACCAGTAATGTGTATATGCACATGTGTGTATGTCTGTTTTAGATATTATACAGCACCTCAGTTTTGCTAATTTTGGATGTTTTATACATTCTTGAGTAACCATGAACTAGAAAATCATAGCTTTTCTCACCCTGGAACAGACTGATTTAGCCGAAAGTATGGGAATAGCCTGTAGTGGAAAGAATGAGGGCTTGAGAATAAGACCTGCTTCCAGCTCCCTTGTCCTTTCCTCTGTATGTGACCTTGGGTAGTTCACTGATGTCCTGGGTCTTGCTCGCTCACCTGCAAGGTTGGGATCTTGTGTGCATGTAAGTGTGTGGGGTAACTTGCACTGTACCTCATGTACTGTAAGCACGCGAGGTTGTAACTGTTTCTGCTTATCATCTTTCTGTAATTTTTGTTTACTTGGCTAAACTTGACTTTTCTAAATGTTTTCTTTTTTTAGTATTCTTTGAAACTGGAGAAAGGAGATTATACAATTCGACTACAGATTCGTCATGAGCAAATCAGTGATTTGGAACGTCTTAAAGATCTTCCATTTATTGTTTCTCATAGGTTGTCTAATACCTTGAGCTTAGATATTCATGAAAATCATAGCCTTGCACTTCTAGGAAAGAAGAAATCGAGTAATTTGACACTGCCACCCAAATATAACCAGCCATTCTTTGTTACTTCCCTACCTGATGACAAGTAAGTGATGACGTTGCTTACACTTAATGCCCATCTTACACACTGTAGTTTATTAATGCCAGTTCATTACATTAGGCTACATTTTTTTAAAAATACATCTTTATTGATTTCAGAGAGAGGAAGGGAGAGGGAGAGGGAGATAGAGACATCAATGATGAGAGAGTCATTGATCAGCTGCCTCCTGCACACCCCCTACTGGGGATTGAGGCCGAAACCCGGGCATGTGCCCTGACCAGGAATCAGATTGCCACCTCCTGGATCATAGGTCGATGCTCAACTCCTGAGCCATGCCTGGCCAAGCCCAGTAGGCAAAATTTATAGTATGCTGTCATACTATACATTTTATACTAAGGTTATTTCTCCCTTTGATTTTGAAATCTTAGCTCTGGAAATTGTTTCAGAATGCAATTGTTTTGTTTTTTCCCTCCCCCCTAATTACCTTTGTGAAATTCTCTCTCTCTCTCTCCCTCTCTCTCTTTCTCTCTTTTTTTTCTTTTTTGAATCTTTTTGTTAGAATACCTAAAGGGGCAGGACCTGGATGTTATCTTGCAGGATCCTTAACATTGTCAAAGACTGAACTTGGAAAGAAAGCTGTAAGTATTAGTTTTGTTCATGTTTTTAGCACCGAAATTACCTATTCTAAAATTTCCCTTTCTGTAAAGATGAGGATTAATTCCACATTTCAGAATGAGTAAAACAGAATATCTCTCTGCCAAGAAAATAAAAAAATTATAGTTTTTACTAATAGAGGTCAATTACTATTTGGTTGTATTTTAAAATATTTAGTATTCTTGTTCCCAAGTGTAAGTTACCCTGGCCCTGAACCTGTCCTCCCTTGCATGGCTAATATACTTGACTTTCCCGTGAAACATACATCTGAGTTAAATTTGGCTTAAATGAATGGGATGTTTAAAATGAGAGCATTTTTTAGAATTTTAACATAATAGTGGATCATTTGGGGTTACCTCAAAAACTAGTCAGGACAATTATTACTAATGAACAATATTTTTCACACTGTACAGACCTTTCTCTTGTTGGAATATTATGTAATTATGTTGATAATTACAAGGTATTTCTTTTGGCATTGCCTTTTATTTTGGAGTTTCAAAATTATGGTTTTTTTTGTTAAAAACATTTTTCTGGTGGTTATATTTTAGAGATAAGTATCTGTTTTTGCTTTTCTGTCTTTTCATTACAAATTTATTATGAGAATAGTGTTTATATAGCTCTGTCACCTTTTGTCATTATCACTTTAGCTCAGTGCTAGTAAAAGTTGTCATTCTTACAATTTTGTATTTCTCTTTAGCATTAGTTCCTACAAATTAAGCCTATCACCTAATGCTGGAATCTATAAATGCTGCTATCAAATGAATAGATCTCAAACATTTTAACAAGCCCACTTATTTCTTGTCATTGTTGAAACAGATATTTATTATGTCATAGAGGCATAATTTAGGAATTTTGTGCTTAGAAAAAGTTGTTTGCCCTGACATTTCCTGTCTCATTTCAGTCTATACTATTTATATATTCGTTAGTATGATTTGAAGTGAATGAGTAGTTAATTGTATTGGAATTCATGGATGCACTGATTTAAGGACTAGTAGTCTTTTCTTGTAGACTTCATTTCCTGGGTAGCATGGTTGCTTCCTCCATGAGCTTCATCCGGGGAGGCTTCTGTGATGAGGTTCATACCCATATGACTCTTCTAAAGTGTCCACTTCCTTGTGATGAGTATGACAGAAGAGCACTGGTATTAAAAGTATGGTTTTAGCAATTCCAAAAGAGTTACTACTTCTTGGCGACATTCTTTCAGAGGCACTTGTGACATTATAAACGTGGAATTAACTAGTTATTACTTACCAGGGTAGATTTTCTTGAGAGAGAGCAAGAACTTAAAACTATAGAGTTAATTTTAATTCCCAACACATTATTTACTCTTCCCTCAGTAGTTTTGCATTTCTTATGATTTTTGGTAGTTGGGAAGGTTCATTTTACCTTCTCTATGACTTGAATAATGCTTTTTGTAAGAGAGCATGGGTATGTGTGATTGTTGTGATGTCCTTAAAAGTCAGACTCTGTAGACTCTTGTCAATTAAATTTCATATTTCCAAAACTGTTTTGATAACTAATGGATTTAACTCTAACAAGTTATTAAAATAGGAAGCTGAAAACCATTTGCCCTTAGGAATAACATTTCAGTGCATTTTTATTTAAAAAAAATGAAAGTGGCAATGTTGCTTTCTTTAAAGCCTGCCATCTTGGTCACAGACCTGACCCTTCTGAGTACTGTGACACATACAGGTGGAACATAAACTGGGAGAAAAGCAAACAGAGGTGGTGTCTCCATCCTGTGTAGATGATGCATGTTTTCTTACAGAATGTCGTTCTAACTCCCAGGGGCAGTCTGCAGCAAAACGACAAGGAAAATTTAAAAAGGTACTGATTGTCAGTTCTTTAAAAAGATGTCTTAAAGCCTTATTTGCATATTAGTTAAACTTTTTTCTGTCACTATTATAAATCTTTAAAAAAAATAATCTCTCCCTTAGTTTCCTTGCTTTAAGTTCTGCAGTATAGTGCTTTTAGCTTACCAGTGTTGACATAATGCTTTCCTAAAGTTACTTTTTCTGTCCTAAATTGCTGGAGGGCCCCTGTTTTATATGTATATAGAAAAAATTAATGCTATTTATTTCTTACTATAGATAAATAATAATATTTGAAATTTTGCATATCTAAAATCCTATAGAGAGAGAAATATGATTTTTTTTCAGCTATATAGACCAAACAATTATTTTTAAAGTCTGAAAACATTCTTAAATTGGATGATTTGATTAAAAAATATTATTAAGGTATTTCAAGTGAATCTTATTCCTTGCTCTTGCATCTTCTTAGTTCTTAAAGGGCAGAGACAAACAGAGCAATGGACAAAGCAGGAACAGAAATAAGGACTGTGACCCAAAATTAAAACTTACACTAAGAGCATAAGCAGATTTTCAGGCCATAACTAGTAAGTAATCTGATCAACTTTTCTGCAACTTATTTGACAGTCTCTTGATTGACTTCTAGAGCCAAAGTTAACTCAAACAAGAAAAATTCTACCTCAGGTTTACTTTAGAGAAAGGGATACATATTCGATGAGCTCTCTGGTGAAAACCTGCTGACATTACGTATCATTTAGTGATTTTTCACATTCAAGCAGGAAGCATTGCAGTGGGAGAATTAGTACTTTAAGGTATAAACAAAAGATACCTCTTTGTTTCTTAATTCATAGTGATATGAAATGGGCTCACCATTTTATAATAGGTGAAATTCCTTTATTAAAAAAGAGCTCTGAAATGTCCATATTATTATGTAATGATAAATACTTGGCTCAAACAGAATACACCACTGGTAATCACCTTTCCAGATAAAAAAAAAAAATCTGCTTCTCTATAGGCCAGTATTTTTCAGCTGAGCTTCTTAACCCATTTGTTCACCATGTACATTCATTTAATGAAACGTAACCAGCATTAAAACAAAAACAATAAAGTAGGAGATGTTAGTTCAGCAGACTCATAAAACTGTAATTTCATTTTATCTATAGATTGTTTGTGTTTGGGTCAGTGTGAAAATAGCTTGCAAGCCACTGCTTTAGAGAATGAGGAAAAGGTATTCTATGAGACCATTAAAAATAGAAGATGCATATCACAAAGATGCATATCATAGATTTTTTTTCTTCCTATTGTATATTTTGGTTGATCTTTGGGGAGTTTTGGTGGATTTTGTTTGGATTAGGTTGTATGAGATAGAAAACTATCAAATGAATAGAAGGATTATTATTACTTGATGGGTAGTAAAGCTTTGTATAAAGAACTTGGCAGCTAGACTTACCTCTTCCCATTTCTCTCTTAAGTGCAAGTACACATGAAGCTCCTATTTTAAAAATAACTATTATAGGTTTTTGGTTTTTTTTAAGTATATCTTCATTGATTTCAGAGAGAGGTAGGGAGAGGGGGAGAGAGAGAAACATCAGTGATGAGAGAGGCATCATTGATTGGCTGCCTCCCGCACAGCCCCCACTGGGGATCGAGCCCGTAACCCAGGCATGAGCCATGACGGGGAATTCAGCCGTGATCTCCTGGATCATAGGTTGATGCTCAACCTCTGAGCCATGCTGTCTGGGCTATTATTGTAGTTTTATAGTCACATTACCAAAATATATTATTAATTTATTGCCTGAACAAAATACCAACTAGGTTTTTCTGTGGACTTGTTCTCTGGGTTTCAGTGACTTTTAATTTAAAAATGCATTACACTTTTTTAAGCTCATTGTGATATGAAAGAAATTATTTTTAACAGATCATAAATAGCATTCAAGTATGTTAATCTTTAAAATAGCTATTTTAGTTTGTGTGAAGGTATTACAATTTTGAATTTTGTTGTTAGTAATTTAAGAACTAAGGAAATTGTTTTTTTTACCCCAAATTTCAATGATGGTATGTTATATAGCCCAAAGAATAGTTAGTTACTGATTATGTGGGTAAGTTTGATTTTCTAAATAATACCATTCAATTCAAACATTGTTGAAATACTTTGTGAGTAGTGAGAATAATATGTTAAAAAAAAACCCAAAACTTACTGTTAAGTATTCACTATAGAGAACTTTAGCATTTCTGCTCTGAAGATTTTTCTTGACTATGTTTAATATCATAATCAATATTTCTTAAGATTTACTGGTACAAAATAATTTTTATTAAATTGACACTATGCTAGGTCCTTAGAAATGAGTTGGAAAAAAACTGTCAAAAAGAACAGATGACCATGATAAAGCAAATGAAAAATAACTTTATTTTTCTTTTGATTAGGAATTAAAAATATCATGTTCATAATTCTTAGTAATAAAAAATTCTTGTCCTGATAAACTTTATAGGATTATACTGACATAATTTCTAATTTGATATATTTAAAAATATAAAAGACTGATTACAAAACCTTGATCCCTGCCCCCTGCTAAGGTCATTTCCCTTTTTTGTCCTCTTAGTGATGGTTTATGGTTGCTGTGATACAGGGTTTCTTCCTATGTATAGATCTTTGTTAAGAGTTTATTGTTAATCATAAAATAATTTTAATGGATTGCTCATTTTAAATTCAGTTCTATTTTCTCTCTTCTGTACTAAAACATAATAGCAAATAGCTTACCTCTGAGCTTCAGAGAAGGAATTGGCTTACAACAGAGGCTTCCCATCTGGAAGTTTGTGTCTCTCCCTAATCAGGCAAGGAGGAGGGAAAACTAAAGGAGCTCATGTTAGGTTAGAGTGAATGTGGACTGCCGAGTTTCCTCCTCCAGGCAAGTGTTATTCACATGTTAGCATCCTGGATAATAAAGAAGCGTGATCCCAAAGAGAGTAGGAGAATAATGGTTGGAGGCCATTTGTACCTTTAATTCTTAGAATTCTTAGGTCTGTTGTCTGTGCCGTACAGATGACACTGGAGCAGTCCGTTTAGTTAAGAACTTGGTGGTAAATTATCAACTCAGATTTTGCAGACACTTTAACTTGGCTTTGCTTAGGGCAGTCCCCATCTAGGAGAATGAACCTCCAGAAAGGGTGGGTGGCAGGGTCCAGAAGGAGCTAGCCCCAGCAAAATACCTGTTTTCTTTTCCCTGTGTCACTTCACATAAGATCTTTGCATGCAGGCTCTGGGTCCTTGACCTCAGAGAGAGAGTGAGTGTGGCACCTAAATGGGTAAAAATGGATTTGTGTGGGTATTTTCCATCATTGGTTGTCTGTGCTTGAAATGAGTCATATTGAAGTAGTAATTATTTTATGGTGGAATACTATCAGGACAACTATTACAGTAGTAGTTCCTTATTATTATAATTATACCCCAAAATAAAGTTTAATTGTGAACATTTTTAAATGGCCATATTTATGTAGTGTTTACAAATAGCTAAAAATCCTATTTTGGGGAAGGTGGGGGCTTGCAATATTATTTTTTAACTCACTCTGTAAATATTTTTCTGAAATTACTGTGATTAGAGCAGTAAAGCCTTTTTGGTAACATAACTTGTTCTCATTTTAGAAATTTTAAAAATTAACACAAATATAAGAATTTAATTTAGCAGTATTTTTAATGTAAACCTGAGGATACAATTTGAGAAATTGACGTAATAATGATTTAATTAAGGAACTTAATTATTGTGTTAAAAACAACTATTAAGTATAACATATGATTTGATTTTCCAGATAATGTGTTACTTTTCATAAGACTTATGTGCTTTAATAAAATAGATGGAAATAGATGTAATTAGATATAATTGCACATTTCTCTGCTCTCTACAAAGCAGAACTCTTCAAAAGACCTATCATACTTGTTTACTTCATCTCTTTATCTTTCTTCGTGAGCCTTTTCTGTGCACTGAAACTGGCCAGTCATGGTGATTAGCAGCCACTGCCGCCAGGTTTGCAGTTATTTCATTCCCCTCTCTCCCATCACCTCTCAGCTGTAGGCATCAGTTTACCTCCCCCTTTCTCCACACTGTCCTTCTCAGGGCTGCCGTGACCTCAGATTCTCTCTGGATTCTGTGTCTCCCTCACAGAGCATCTATTAGATAGTAGAATGCTTTGGACTCGTGACCTCAGATTCTCTCTGGATTCTGTGTCTCCCTCACAGAGCATCTATTAGATAGTAGAATGCTTTGGACCAAGTCCTGGGCACACTCTTCCCCACCCCCCAACCCTACCCAGTCTTCCTCACCCCCTAGTTTTAAATAGAGTCAGCAGGCACTGCTAGTTCTACTTTCACAGAATATCTTAAAGCCACTCATTTCTTTTCTACAGCCTGTTTAGTTCAAGGTGGTTTGGGATGTCTACGTTTGCTTCCTAACTTGTTTTTCTTTTTTTCTGCTTTTGGTCTCTATCATCCATTCTCCAGATAGTGTCAAGAGTTATTAAAAAAACAAACCCAAACTTTTAATTCATACAGGATTCAGAGTCATTAAACAAAAAGCAAAAATCTTTAATCATGTCACCGCCTTGCGTAAAACTCTTCCGGTAGGTTTTCTGTTGTGCTTAGAGTAAAATCTGGATTTTCTTTTACCGTATTTTATCAACCCTACTTGATACAGTTGCTGCCCACTTGCTCAGTACATACAGCTTTGCGCCCCATGAACCGGGCTCAGGTTTTTGCACATGTTCATCTTCTACCTTCAGACACTCTTCCTCTCATTTATTCGAGGTTTCCTTTTAGGTCATTTAGGTTCATTTAGATCGGGTGATTCCGCTTTAGAGTGGCTTTCCATAAGCACTTGGCTACAGTGGCTCCCCCGCCTTACTGACCAGTCTTATTTTTTTCACCTCACGCGTCAGTGTCTGATGTTACGTATTTACTTACCTGTTTGTTGTGTCTTCCCCCACTAGAATATATGCTCCCTGGGGTAAGAAAGGGCCTTGTTTGCATTGTCCTTCAGTTTGCAGAGCATTACCTGGGACAGTAAGGTGCTCAATAGTCCTGCTGACTGAATGAAGAAACACATTTTTCTTTAAATTTTAGAGAGAAAAGAGGATCTTTGTTGTTCTAACTTATTTTCTCCCCTTCTCAGATAAAAAATCGTGCAAAGCTCAATATACTTTTTTAAATTAGCCTATCAAGTAAGCCTAAGAATACCAAATATACTCATACAGAGAAAAATTTATTCTTATCTCTCTTATTTTAAAGGAGAGAGTAGAAGCATTGGTACTTTAAAGTTGGGGAGAAAATTACTTTGGTTGCAGATTGGAATTTGTTTTGTATTGTGATGCCTTAGACTACAGAGTCTGGAATACAATGTAGTACAACTCAGATACAAGACATGTTACATGATATTCAGCTATTAAAGGTGATTTTAAATATGTAAACTTAAGCATGTTAATTTAAGACTCTCTCTCCACATTCATAGGATGTAATCCCTGTTCATTACTACCTAATACCTCCACCAACAAAGACTAAGAATGGCAGCAAAGATAAAGAAAAAGATTTAGAAAAAGAGAAAGATTTCAAAGAAGAATTTACTGAAGCATTACGAGACCTTAAAATTCAGTGGATGACAAAGTAAGTTTTTAAGGGATTTTAATCCTTCAAGAGTTTACTTTTATTTTCCTATTTCCAACAATATTGTGGTTATATGCACTGGCTATCTTATATTATACATCTCACAGTTTGTTTATCCATTCACCCATTGATGGACACTTAGGTTGTTTCCATAACTTGGCTATTGTAAATAATGCTGCAGTGAATATGGGGTGCCTATATCTTTTCAAGTTAGTGTTTCCATTTTCTTCAGATAAATACACAGAAATTGAATTGCTGGATCATATGGTAGTTCTATTTTTAATTTTTTGAGGAATCTCCATATTGTTTTCCATAGTGACTGCACCAGTTTACATTCCTACCAACTGTGCACAAGGGTTCCATTTTCTTCACACCCTTGCCAACAATGTTTTTTCTTGTCTTTTTTATAATAGCCTTTCTCACAGGTGTGAGGTGATATCTCATTGTGGTTTTGATTTCATTTCCCTGATAATGAAGATGCTGAGCATCTTCTCATGTACCTATTGGCCATCCATATATCTTCTTCGCAAAAATGCCTATTCAGATCTTCTGCCCATTTTTTTATATTAAATTTTTTGGAGTGACATTGATTAATAGGATCATATAGGTTTCAAGTGTACATTTCTTTGAGACATGATCTGTATATTGCATTGTGTGCCCTCTACCCAAAGTCAAGTCATTTTTCATCACCATATATTTGGCCTCCTTTACCCTTTACTATTCCCCCACCTCCTTCCCTCTATAACCACCATACTGTTGGTCTGTGTCTATTTGTTTCAGTTTTATATTCCACATATGAGTGAAATCATTTGGTTCTTAGCTTTTTCTAACTGACTTATATTGCTTAACATAGTATTCTCAAGGTCCATCAAGAGTTTGAGAAGGACTGGTATGAGATCTTATATGAATGCTTGGTAGAATTCACTAGTGAAGCCATCTGGTCCTGGACTTTTATTTTTGGGGAGGTTTTTGATTGTTTCAGTTTCCTCACTGTTTATCGGTCTATTTAGATTTTCTAGTTCTTCATAATTTAGTCTAGGAAGGTTATATATTTCAAGGAACTTACACATTTGTTCTAGGTTATTGAATTTGGTGGCATATAGTCTTTTATAGTATTCTAGTGTGATCCTTTGTATATTTATGATGTTTGTGGTAACTTTTTCTTCATTTCTGATTTTGTTTATATTAGCCTTTTCCCTTTTTTCCTTAGTGAGGCTAGCCAGGGGGTTGTCAATTTTATTAATCTTTTCAAAGAATCAGTTCTTTGTTGTATTAATCTTTTGTATAGTCTTTTCTCTATTTCATTCAAGTGTGCTCTAATTTTTATTATTTCCTTTCTTTTGCTGACTTTGGGTTACCTTTGTTCTTTTCCTAGTTCTTTACGATGCATTTTTAGGTTGTTTACTTGAGATTTCTCTTGTTTCTTGAGATAGGCCTGTAATGACATAAACTTCCCCCTTATTACTGCTTTCACTACATCCCAGAAGTTTTGATATGCTGTATTGTGGTTCTCATTTGTCTCTGTATATCTTTTGATCTCACCTTTTAGTTCTTTGACTAAGTTATTTTTTAGTAGTATGTTTTTAAATCTCCACATATTTGTGGGTTGCAGTGGATTTCTAATTTCAAAGTATTGTGGTCAGAGAATATGCTCGCTATGATTTTAATCTTCTTGAATTTGTTGAGGGTAGTTTTGTGATCCAACATATGGTGTCTTTGAAAACGTTCCACATGCACTGCGGAAGAATGTATGATCCGATGTTCTGGGATGAAAGGCTTTGTAAATGTCAGTTATGCCCATTTTAATGTGTCATTTCTAGATTTTTATCATCGATATCATTAATCCTTTCTTCCACCTTTCAGCTGTATTTCCTGTGCTTGCTAGTTCATTCTTGATATCTTTTATTGAGTTATTAATCTCCAGAATTTCTATTTGTTTCTTTATTAAACTGTCAGTCTCTTTGGTAAAATACTGTTTTGCTCATTGATTTGTTTTCTGAGATCATTTAACTGCCTATTTTCTTGCATCGTGTTGAATTTTTTCAGAAATGCAATCTTGAATTTTCTGTCATTTATATCACATATTTTCATGTCTTTTTTCTTCTGCAGTTTTTCATTTTCTTTCTGAGCTGCCTCTCTACTTTGGTTATTCATGATATTTGTTGGATTCCTTCTTTGTCTCACATCTGTGTATGAGTGGCACTTCTCTAGCAGTTAATATGAAGCAGTCTATCATTTTCCAGTAAGTCACACTGAATCACAGGTTTTTTAGCTCTCTGAAATCCCAGGGCTGTCTCCGAAGCCAGACGCTGCTATCAGTGTAGCCCCAATGCAAGGGGGTGGGGTGATCTTTTAGCCTTCCCAGTAGTGGTGACCTTGGACCTCCATGGGGTCCTGCCTGCATCCTGGCCCTGGGATCAGTCAGAGTGTGCCCTTTGCTCAAGGAAAAAAGTGATTCTGTAGTACCAGTTCTCAGATGTGTAGATAATGTGATCCATAACTAGACACTTAAGGGCGAAGCGAGGTGAGTTCTAGGCGGCTAGAGGCTACTGGGTCCGCAGTGCTCCCTGGCTTTGTTTCTCTGTCTGGAATGCCGACCGCCTGATTATAGGCAGCACCCTGTGCTGTGTCCTTGCCCAGGTCTCTGGGCTCAGCTGTAACTCATAGTGCTTAAAACTGCAGGAATTCCCACTGAATGAATCTCTTTGCTCCTCCCTGCTGAAGGGAGCACCGGCCACAACCTGATTCCTCCTCTCTCTGGACTGAGCCCCACCATGAGCTTCCAGCTACAGGACTGAGTCCATGGCTTGTCTCAGCTTTTCTCCCTTCTCACCTCCCCCATTCACTCCCACTTGCCCACCTTTAGATTCTTCAATGTATGGCTCTCTCAAGCGTGTTTTTTGCGTTGAGCAGGAAATTCTTTGTTGAGTTATAGCTGTTCAAATCGTTGAAACTTCAAGGGATATCTCTCTCTCTCTCCCCCTCTCCTTTCCTCTCTCTGAAATCAATAAAGATATATTTAAAAAAAATAAAATACCATTTTTAATAACTATGTAGTATGTAGTCCTGTGGTTGAAATATAACCTATTTAAATTCTCTATTTAAATTCTCTATTGTTTTTCTTTGCAATACTGTGTTGGATATTTATATACATAAAGATTTATTATTTAAAATATATTTTTAATTGATTTTAGAGAGAGAGGAAAGGAGAGGGAGAGAGAAATAGAAACATCAATGATGAGAGAGAGTCATTGATTGGCTGCCTACTGCATGCCCTCTACTGTGGATTGAGCCTGCAGCCTGGGCATGTGCTGTGACCAGAAATCCAACCTTGATCTCCTGGTTCATGGGTCCATGCTCAACCACTGAGCCACGCTAGCTGGGTAGATTTATTTTTAAATTTCCATCAGATAGCATCTTTAAAGTATAATTGTTGAATCAGAAATTAATTTCTATAAATCATCTTATGTTTTGCCAAATTACTTTCTAGAGTGAATATAACAATATATACTTCATCCAGTAATGTATGATGGGACCTGTGTTGCTCCTTATACCTTTGCCAATGGCAAGCCATGTAATTTAAAATAAAGCCTTGCTACTATAGGGTGAAAAAGAAAATGCTATTATTGCATTTCTCCAGTTGTTCAGTTTGAGCTTTTTGAATGTTATTTTATTGTTTGCATAGCCTCTGTCAGATGAACCATGTTCTTTGCCCATTTTTCTTTTGGCACATCAGATTTTTCTTTTAACATAAGAGATGTTAATACTCTGTTGAACTTGTCACAGAATTTTTCCCCAGCTTATCATTTTTCTTTTATCTTACTTTTTACATAGAAATGTATTCTATGTAGTCAAATTGATGGCTTTTTCCATTTGTGTTACGTGGTATTTATTTTACCACTGATTTTCTATCTGAGTCCTCATAGCGGAGTAAGTATGCATCCCTGCCGTCATGAGGTCTTACAGAGAGCAGACATCATGTTATGAAAATGATTCCTGTTATAATGTCAGTCCATATTCATACTTACCTTTCCACTTAAAACTGGGTTGTATCTCCACTAGAAGTGAAAGTCTTTAGGTCAGTCTCTGGCTGATTGTATGATATTATAAACAGTTGAAAATATGATGTAAATCATTCAAAAGTGAGATTGCAGATACTGACTTCTGGCATGATAGTGGTGCAGGAACTTTTGCCAGGCTGGTTCTCCTTCGCTCCCAGTAAGAGGACTTTCTTCATGGGAGGAGCAGAATTTCTGCATTTTTCATCCAGCCCCGCTGCTTGTTGCTGAGGCTGATTTCCTGGCAAATGTGATCAACAGTGGAGGCTCTTTTCTTCCTCTCAGCTCCCACTTGTCTGCCTTGGATGTGGCACTCCTGAGGCCCCAGTCACCCCGCCCCCTGCTCAGGATGCAGTGGTTCCATTTCAGGCAAGGCAAGCCAAGAAGACTCACTCCATGTTGTCAGGAAGAACTGACATAGTTTTATTCAGCTTCCCCACCTCAGAACATGGAAAGTCTCTTCATTTATTCAATATTTTAGGTTTTTCAGAAAAATTTTAATTTTTCTTCTAGATCTTAGACATTGCTAGATTTTTATGTTTTCTTTCTATTTGTGAATTTTTTTCCTCCTTTTAGGAAAGCTGTTGGTGTTCATTTTTATCTTCCATCCTATTGAACTCAATTGAAACAATTTTCATTTTTTATTTTATTGGTTTTCTAGGTAAGCATATTTGTACCACCTGCAAATAACGATAATCCTTGTTACTAGGTATACTTATATTTCAAATTGAAGCCTTATGTTATTGACTGGAACTTCAAAACAATGTTAAATTACAGGAAAGATGGAAATTTTCTTTCTAAAAGAAGTGAAATAACGTTTTTTCTTTCTTATATATATAGGCTGGATTCTAGTGACATTTATAATGAGTTGAAAGAAACATATCCTAATTATCTTCCTCTGTATGTTGCACGACTTCATCAGTTGGATGCTGAAAAGGTTGGACGTGTTCATTTTTAATATGAGTATCTTATTTTGTTTGTAATATTAGATAAGGTTTGCATTTTGAATTAAAAGACAAACTTATATTTGTCTTCTCTTCTTGCTGATTGAAAACTTGTTTCTTCAGATTGACTGTTCCATTAAGCTATTTTTATTTAAGCTAGTTAAGGAACCTGGCAGTTACTCTAAGTTTAGGAATCTTGCTCTTTGGTCACTGGGAGGAGTAGTAGTTAAAATACTCTAAGGATTGCTTCTCTGGTGTTAACCTACAGAGCAAGGAGCAGAAGGTAGTGGTCCTGGCCTGCTGCAAATCTAAACACCTTCAGCAAAAGAAGCACCCCTACTTTGCATTAACTTTGTTAACAATTCTTGGTTTTAAGCATTGGCCATAGTTCCAGACTTTCTTAACATGGACCAGCTCTCATTAGTACTCATGGTAGTAGGAATGTGCTAGCATAATCAGTTGAAAATTACTAAGGGTTTAGAGTGAACTAGAAAGTGTTGAAAGGAGACCTCTAAAGGACTTGAACAAGAGAGAAGCAAATTTCCGAGAATACCCCGAATACCATGATAATCCTGGGCTTTGTTAGTGATACTCTTGTTCACGCTCACTTTTGTGTTCTTAGTAACAATTAGAATTTGTTTCATCAGCTAGTGCTTTTTTTACTTCTGTTTTCATGTGGCATGGGACTGAAGTAACATAGCCCATCTCTGAAATATTTTAAGATACCCAGAAAAGGAGTTGCTTTATAGATAACACTACATTTTTATGAAATTTATCTTTTGCATACCAGCAGGGAGTGTAAATTGGGTATTGTCCTGTCTAAGCTCAGCTTTTGTAGAGATGCTGACAGTTACAAAGATCACCATTGGAGATAGCACAGCGTCCCCTGGGCTGCAAATGGACTACATAGTCCCCTCACACTGGAGTTGAGAGGACAGACGTGAAAATGCTTCAGTACCTGAGATTCGTCAGTCTGTTGCATGCTTCCATGTCTCTGGAAGGGGGCATGGTAGAGATTAACCAAATAACTTATATGCATAGTTCCTGGAAGGCCTGGGGAGAGGGCGGGAGCAGGGTGGAGGGGTTCAATGGGGGAAAAATAGGGGATATCTGTGATACTTTCAACGATAAAGATATATTTAAAAATAAATAAATGCTTAAATATACGCATTGATACATCTATTTGTTTCTTTTTTTCCCTTTCTAGGAACGAATGAAAAGACTTAATGAAATTGTTGAAGCTGCAGATTCTGTTATTTCTCATATAGATCAAACGGCACTAGCAGTTTATATTGCTATGAAGACTGACCCCAGGCCCGATGCAGCTACTATAAAAAAGTACCTAACCAGTAAATACTCTTTCTTGCATCTCATTTCTTAGTTACCTTTTTAAAAGTAGGGATTGACATTATTGAGAATATTTTTGTTTCCTGGTATTTATATATTCTTATAATTAATGAGTTTTCAATATTTAAACACTCCCTCCTTAGATACTTTGTAATAGTGTTCTTTAATCATTTTAAGATGATGCAGAAGAAAAGTAGTTTGCTTTCTCTACCGTTAGGTGCTGTCCTGATGGAGATTTGAGTAGCTGTGATCAAGCAGTTCAGCCACTTGGGGATTTCTATGAGCTGGGTGTGTGGAGAGGGCAAACACATAACACCCTATAAAATTAATTTTTAAATGATTTATTGGCCAATAACATGAAAAACCCTGTATTTAGTTTGTGATGCCTAGTAAAGTAAACGGTGAAAGTTAAAATTAGTTTAAATCCATTATCTAATAACTTCAGCTTTTATGGAACTGGACTTACAGTGTTGCCTGGGGAGAAGGGAAAGGGAGAGTGTATAATTTTGTCTTTATGAACCCTAACGTGATAGGTAAAACAGAGCTGAGCTGGGTGTATAAGTGAGTAGTGTGCTTCCTTCCATGTGGTGGTGGGTTTCCATATGTCGGTCTAATGGTCCGATACTCTTTCAGTTTCATTCTTCCATGAACTCTTACTGATTCTCCCAATATCATTTTTCTCTCTATCTCTTTGGTTTATTTTCATCCTGGGGATCATTGACTTAAAAGGGGAGATACCCTCATTCTCTTATAGTTATTATAATTAATAAACTGAAACTGTTCAAGCTTCCTAATAGTACTATAATTTGCCTTAAAGAATCCATCAGCTTCCATGAGAATATATATATATTTTTATATAGAATACTGGAATTATAACTACTAGAACTCTTGGTATTACATTGTTTATATTGATACAGGATCTTATGACTCTCACAAGGGGTAGTTTTCAAGCTGAATAAAATTTGTTCAAAGCTGGTTGTTGGCAGTTGTCAGCACCCTTTCACACTTTCCAAAGAAACAATCTCAAAACATTGTCATCTTCTTGTTATTATTGACAATAATAGGGAAAAGTGTAGCCACTATTTATGAAGTGCCAGTTATGTATAAGGGATTACTTGGGGCATTTTTAAATACAATGTCTCACTTAAATTTAATCCTCTAAATGACATGCAAAGTAGGGACATTATTACCCTATTTTTATAGAACAGGAACTGATGCTCGGTGAGATTAAATGACTTGCCTATGGTGGCAGTACTAGGTACTGGGAAAGCCAGTACTTAAACCAGCATGTATTCTAAGCCTGTGTCCTTTGATTTCTTGATAAGCAACGTCTTATAGTGCTATCCTGGTCTTGAGAAGATTACTATGCCTCGTTCTTTTCTCACAGACTCATTGTCTTCACAAGCATCTGACATGAGTTGGACAAAATGCCTCAAATAAACAAGCACTCTAGAGAGAAAGAGTGCCCCGGAGTGTAGGTTGTTACTATATTTCATTCAACCCTGACTTGTCTGATCTGTGCCAGGCATTATTCTGGGCATTTGGAATACATCAGAGGAAAATATAAAGATACCTGCCTTGGAGCAAGGCAGTTTACTGTAGTGATTAAGAGCAGGGATTCCAGAAACAGACCAAGTAGCTTAGAATCCTGGATCTGCCACTTCCTAACTGTAGGACTTTGAACAAACAGCTTAATCTCTTTGTGCCTCAATTTCTTCCTTTGCAAAATGGGGGTAATTAATAGTATTTTACTCATAGAATTGTTTTGAGTATAAATGAGCTAATATTTTAAAATAGTAAAACAGTTCCTGGCACATTCAGAGTAAGCATTATATTTGTTTATACATGAAAATTCATGACCAGAAGAACCTCTGTACAGCTGTACATAGAGAAAAATATGTAATAATTGCTGTTTATAAGAAATCCAAACAATTATATTGCCCTGATTTAAGAGTTATGTAGCTGACAAAATTTAGAACCACGTAATTGCTTACATGGGCATTTTGTTTCAACCAGGTCCAGCTCTTCTAACTTATTTAACCTGTGTAAAGTAGTGGCTCATTAGATGTTTATTAGAAATAAGGAGTTTTATTTGATGCACAGTACAAATGTATAAACATAGCTACATATGATCTCTGCATTGTAAATATTAAGCAAAGAACGCATGAATTTAGTTCCAGATAAGGCTGTACTTCTAAAGAGATGTTACTGACCTCTGCAATGTTTTTTGGTCTGGTGCGCAGTGACATGGACAAACAAAAGTCCACCCTCGTAGACGCCCTGTGTAGGAAAGGGTGTGCCCTGGCTGACCATCTTCTTCAAGCACGGGATCAGGACGGGGCCGTTGCAAGTGATGCAGAGGAAAGAGAAGAGGAAGGAGAAAGTACTTTGGATTGTCTGACGGAGACTTTTTGGGAAACTACAAAATGGACTGATCTTTTTGACAATAAGGTAACCTCTCTGCTTCTCGTTTTTGCAGTTTTTGGTTCCTTCACAAACTTCTCTTGTGCCCTGTTCCCCACTGTTTGCTGTTTCCCGTTTCCCGGTTACTGGCCAGAAGAGAATAAACGGAGTGAGGATAAACTTGGCTCTGAAGATGCATTTAGTGACACCTTGTATTTGTCATGTCTGCTTTAAAACCATTTGTTACTGTTATTTTATCTGTTGCAAAGTGGCTGTTTAGCCATACTAATTTGGAAAACGGTTTGAGAAGGTATGCAGTGTTCTTTTGGTTAAGCCAGCTAGTTACGTATGAAGCTAAAATTAAGAATATCTTCTAGAAATTGTCTTCATGCCTTTCCACATATATAGGGGGTCGCAAAAAATGTATACACACACTTTGCACAATTATAAAGGCAATGTTTATTAAAATACAGTTTATTTTCAAAGTTGATCTGTCAGCTGTTAAAGCGGGTATACATTTTTGGGGGACACCCTGTATTTATGTGCTAATTTGTCAGGGATTGGGAGGTGATACTGGTTAGTTTATATATATTTCTCAAAATTCTTAAGCTTCCAAATAATTATCATCTTGATTTATAACTCGTCAGTTTGAAAACCCAGTTTAGAAAAAATAACATTGACAAATGTTTGAAATTTGATTATAAAAACATTTTTAAATCCTTTTAGCTCTCTACTGTAACTCTTACAGTAGACATTATGTAACTACAAGTTTTTGTCAATCTTCCTTTCCTCTGGAGATAAAAAAATAAAATAAGTGAGATCAGTGGAATTCTCCTTGCCCAGCGCAAACAACTGTTTTGTTTTAGTAGACAGATGCGTGTTTTCAGGATGCACTATGGTAATTTCTCGGAAAGACCTCTGGAAGTAGGGGAGAAATTCTGCCTGTATGCTTTAGGTTTTCCTACACAGTACAGTAGCACATATGTAGGAGGAACTAAGTTATATTTAGGAAACTGCACCAGAGGTTATGAATTTGGATCTGAAATCACACTCCTGGAGTTTGAATCCTGCCTCTTCCACTTTATCTATGTGACCTTAACTCTGATGTCTCAATTTCCTTTTTTTTGTTGTTAATTCTCACCTGAGGGTATTTTTCCCATTGACTTTTAGAGAGAGTGGAAGGGAGGGAGGGGAAGAAAGAGAGAGAGAAGGAGAGAGAGAAACATCAATGTGAGAGAGATACATCACTTGGTTGCTTCCTGCACATGCCCCAACTGGGCTGAAATTGCAACCCAGGTATGTGCCTTTGATCGAACCTGTGACCCTTTGGCGCATGGGCCAACCTTCTAACCATTGAGACACACTGGCCAGGGCAGATGTCTCAGTTTCTTATCTGTTGAGAGAGGATAGTGAGTGACACTACCTGCCATAGGCTTTTATGAATGAGTATTAAGTACACGGGAGGACCCCAACAATGTTTGCTGTTCTTACTAACAAATAATTATTGCATGCCTACTTTATGCCCAACACTGAAAAAAGATTGCTGCTTGAAAAGACGAATAAGATAGTTGATGAACATCATATTAAAATTGTTATAACTTTTTTTCCATAATACTACTGTATTGAGGGATGCATTATATTACCTGTCTGTTTATATACAGAACAACAGTTGTTTAACACTTTACTTGGCTCTTGAATACAAATATATGCCACAGGATTTCTTTCTTTGAGAATGTTCTCACATTCTAAAAGTGGAAACCAAAAATATAAATAAATGATTACAAGTATATTTGACAGATACAATAGTTAAAGGTACAGAACTTGTATAAAAGGAAGTAGTGGAAAGTTTATATAATCTAATACTTTTTTTTTTTTTAACTTCTATCCTCTTTTGTAATTTTGGTAATTTATGATGACTATAGTTTTGTACTTCTATCATAATATGCATTTTTGCAATCATTTAGGTTAGCCCTGCTTTCTTTTTCATGAAGAGATATTTTGGTATGGATTTCAACAGCTAGTGATTTAATAATTTTCTTCCCTAAGAAAAATTATCTGTTCTGTGGAATACCCACCTCTTTGGAAGACATTAATTGTTCTTTTAAAAAAAATTCTAAATTTACTTGATATAACATGTTCATTTTAAAAGCTATGCTTCTGTAAAAGCTGTAATTCTTTCCTTATTAAAGATATATGCCTTAAAAATAGAAACATTTCATAGATAAACTTTATCTTATTTTACATTATAGGTTTTGACATTTGCATACAAGCATGCATTAGTAAATAAAATGTACGGGAGAGGCCTTAAATTTGCAACTAAACTTGTGGAAGAAAAACCAACAAAAGAAAACTGGAAAAATTGTATTCAAGTAAGTTATATTTCAGTTGTCAAAGGGTCACTTCAGTACTACATAGTGACAAGATAGCTAAAAAGCCTCATGGTAGTGATATAACAGTACTGACTTTATCATGACTAATATTTAATCAGTATAATTTGAACAATAAAATAAATACATGAAGAGACAGTCAAAAAGCTATTTAAATTTTTAAAACATTCTTTATTCCTATTCAGAAAAACCTGTATTTAGCTTCAGGTGTTTTCAACATCCGCACAATGCATTATGAGTTTTGTACAGGTAGAAGACAGTTTCCCTTTATGAAGGAAGTAAGTAATTTCTTTAAATGCATATTGGTTTAATTCTAAAATGGTTGAACTTTTAGAGTTTTATATTTGATTTTATTATTCATTTGAAATGATAGGCCATTATGTTATTTATTATTTTTGTTGTTGTTAATCCTCACTCAAGGATATTTTTTTCCATTGATTTTTAGAGGGGGGAGGGGTGGCATCAGTGTGAGAGAGACATCGATCTGCTGTTCCCTGCACATGCCCTGACCGGGGCTGGAGATCGAAACTGCAGCCCAGGCACATACCCTTGACTGGGAGTTGACCCTGTGACCCTTTGGTGGGCTGGCTGACACTAACCACTGAGCCACCAGCCAGGGCTTCTTCTTGCTATTTTTTTATCCGCACCAGAGGATATGTTTTTATTGATTTTCGAGAGAGAGGGAGGGAGAGGGAGAGAAAAAAGCATCGATGTGAAAGAGAAACATCGATTGATTGCCTCCCATAAGCCCTTGAGCACGGTCAAACCCACAGCCTGGGCATGCACCCTGACCCGGATCGAACTGGCGACCTGAAGGTGTGTGGGACGACCCTTCAACCGAGCCACATCGGCCAGGGCTGCCATTATGTTATTTTACCACATATTGTGCTGTATGCGGAGAAATTCTGTAGTGGTCCTTTTTGCAGAAGTTAATTGTCAAGTAGAAAAACTTAGTGAATTTTACAGTAATTATTGTAGCCTCACCTTGTCTTCATAATGCATAATTTATGCCTAAAGGATATAGGGAGGTTGGGGAATGTTGGTTATTCCAAATATGGCCAAGAGCCTGCTCTTTATATTTAGGATGTTCTTTGGATGTAAAACCAGTAGATTCCTGTGGAAATTTTTGATTTAACTATAGATTATCTTTACTCTTAGACCCTTTTGTGTGTACCTTCACCAGTCAGTTTAAATTGTATGGTATTTTAAAATAAAATACCGTCAGATCTTTGAATAAGTTAAGAGAACTCTTTCTGGAATTAGTTTTTAATAAGTCCACTCTCATCACGTAGGCTGTAATCTGTGAACGCTTACATTTGTGAAGGCAGTGATCCACCCACATATTCACTTCGGGGATGTTTTGTAACTTGTCTCCCCTCCACTCTGCTTCCCTACTGTCTGTTTTCCAACTAGCAACCAGAAATGATGGCTTTAGACACCTACTGGTGAATCTCCATGACATTTAGAATAAAATCCAAACTCCTCACTGTGGCCCATAAGGCCTCATGTGATCTGGCTCCTGCCTTCCTTTCCAGCCGTATCTCGATCAGACTTCCCCTGTTCACTCTGCTTCTGCCACACTAGCCTCCTTTCTGCTTGGCTAAAATAGCCGCGCCCTTTCCCACAGGAGGACCTAAGTATTCCAGCTATATGGAAAGCTCTTGCACAGATTTACAGAGTACGGTGCTGCTTATTCTTCAGGTTTCAACTTAAATGTTACCTCCTCAGAAATACCTGTCTTGACCATCTAATTTCCCAATCACTCTGTATTAAATAGTTTTATTTTTACTGTGTACCTGATATGTATCTTATTTAGTTATTTATTCATATATTAATTTGTTGTTTTATTATTTGGTGATCCTGAATGCAACATAAGTTTTCTAAAAGTGGCAAGTGAGTTTGTTCAGCGCTGTTTTCCTAATGCCTAGAATAGTGTTTGACTTACAGTGGCACTCAGAAAAAATGAAAGGAAACTAGATTGGTAGGAAGTACGTTAATTGGTAAGGAAAACGAAGGTTAGTAGGAAGAAGGGAAAGAAGGAAGGTTGGTGGGGATGGTAATAATCACCAGGATAGGCTGGCTGGTAGAAAAGTTTATAGTTGGTCATAAGGAACTTTGGTTGGTAAGAAGGAAGGTGGGTGGGTTGGATGGAAGGAGAGTTCTACATACTACCACATTATTACTATATATTTAATGTAGAATTTGCCTTAAACATTGAACTTGAAAATCTGTTCTTTAATAATATATCACTGTGTTTTGTTATAGCTGATGAAGTTACTTGGATGGACCCATTGTGCATCTTTTACTGAAAACTGGCTCCCCATCATGTATCCTCCTGATTATTGTGTATTCTAAAATGGGAACCAAGACTTGAAATTTTAAAACAGAAAGTTTTATAGTGAATGAATATAAAAACAAATTTGTGGCATTTTTAGTCTAATGCATGTTTTCATCAACTATGAAATACTGATTATTAAAATGATGTGTATTTATCAGAGGCTTTGCTGGCGTGTGGCTTAATACATGTAAATCTAGACCTCTGACATCATGGTGTGTTCTTAATGCCTCACATTGCTGGCACTGGGCTGTGCCCTGACTGCCAGCACCAAGGACGTTCAGTTGGGTTGCAGCTACTACATGCATGATAGGTTTCGAACAGTAACTTTTAACTGCAAACCTGTAAAATTCTATTTTTTATTTTATAAATGAAAAGGGTTTTAACATGCTCGACTTTAATTTTTTTCAATTGTATGAAGGCCTTAAAAAAGCTACATTAAGGGTAGCTAAAATTATTTATTGGACTAAAAAGTAACAGAACTTCACTTTTAGATGTTGGGGTTTTTTGTTGGTTTTTTTTTTTTTTTGCGCAAACGTTTACATTCAATTAAGGGGGGAAATTAAAGGGACACAAATAAATGTGTGGCAATTGCTGGAACAGAACTGCTTCTATAAATCTTCATCTTGGAGTAATTTCAGGCCAATCATTTTTAACATCCTCTTGACGTGCAGAGCATCAGAATGAATTAATAATACATGTATAAGTGCCAGACAGCTAAATCTTTATCAGGTATTGTAAAGATACACTTATGGTATGTTTATTGAAGTTGAAATAATGTAAACTCATAAATAAATGTGCAAAACCAAGATTACAGTACACCATATACACTCTGATACCTTAATTTTTTAATAAATAATAAAAGTGAATATTGAAGCTTCTTAAAGTTGGTCTTAATTTTTTATAAGTAAAATTTGGGATTAGAGCAAAAATAATATTAAATCCATAGACAAAAAATTTAACGTGAGGTAATTTATTTTACAATGTTTCTTATAGGCTTGCAATTATTTGAATGTTTCCAATCTTTTTTTTTTTTTAATATATCTTTATTGATTTCAGAGAGAGGAAAGGAGAGGGAGAGAGAGAGATAGAAACATCAATGATGAGAGAGTCATTGATTGAGCCCACAATCCGGGCATGTGCCCTGACCGGGAATCGAACCCTGATCGCCTGGATCCCAGGTCGATGCTCAACTGCTGAGCCATGCCCGGCCGGGAGAATGTTTCTAATCTTATTGTGATTAACTTTTGTGTATCTTTAACTTATTTTTATCTTTCTGGCTATTATACTTGCTTCTCTCATCCTTTCTCCTTAAAATAAACAGACACACATAGATAGTATTAAAAGCCTCTACTAACTTACACCAGGTGTGTGTGTATGAGTGTGTACATGTGATTTTTAAATCTTATTCCCTTGGAATTTACCAGTAATAGAAGACATACCAGTAATCTTGCCTAGCTGTTCATAACTGGTTTTTGGTAATTAAATTCCTTTATTTGATTAAAACATTAGGGCCTGAAGGAAAAAAATACAAATATGCATGCAAACATTTTGCATACCATTTCTGAACCATCTGGAGCCTGAAATCCATCCATGAACATGCCTGTTCCCTCACAAACACTTTCACCTACACACATAAAGGTCCCCATATTCACAGGTTCAGTCCAATTAGAAAACTGAGGAGCTAAGAAAAGATAGGGTGACTTCCCAAGGTCATGCTGCTGATTATTAATTACAGAACCTGTTTTATAATCCAGGTTTTGCCATATCTAGTAAGTACTGCCTGCTTGCACAGCGCCTTGGGCCAACCAGAGGGGAGAGCTTGGGTCCTTCTCAGGTCTTCCTGAGGGTGTGCACAGCTACCCTGTGCATGCCGCCCCAGATGCTCAGGAATATCTCAGAGCTGTCAAAGCTCCCATGGACATATTCCCCAGCATTTCCTTTTACGCTTTTTGATCAGTCCCAACTGTTACCACCTCAGGCAGCCACAAAATTACACAACTGCCTGTAATTATCTGGACAACCACCACTAGGGAAAAGGCATCTGTGCCTAAGAGATCTGAGTCCAGTCTAATAAAGATGGCCTTGCACTTGGGAGTCTTCTAGGGAACAACCAGGTAAGTCAAATAATGACAGTTCTCTGGGAATTGAGGTCTGGAGGAGCTCCCAACCCTGTCTGTCTCCCTCCAGTGACTGCCAGGCTGCTGCTTTTCAGGGCTACCATGGAGCTGGCGATGGAATGGGGACAGGGCGGTTTAAAACATCACAAAATACACTCACTGCTTTTACTGAGATTCAGCCATTTTAATTGCACGAACATGCCTCCGATTACTTCCTGCCTTTGGTTAATTTCCAGAATTCTGAAAAAGTTGCTTTCAATAATTTTTGCCGGTTTCCCCATAACTTTAATGGGGAGAATTATCAGAGGTGCTTCTGCACTGATGAAATGGTTCACCATTTCAGTGACATTACACTTTTTACCACAAAAATTTAGTACCCAATTTTAATGGAATTTTAAGATTAGAAACTTTCTGATAATTTATTTTGAAATACTACTTTCTGAGTTATGTCAAGATACAATAAATTGACTTATTTTTACACAAAAACACCATTCCAGAGCTCCCAAATTTCTGGCTTTATTCTTCAGGTTTTGAATTTTTTTTGCTATATATTTTTTTAATGTGGAAGGAGAGATTAAAACTATGTTGAGTTTTGGATGTACTCTTCAAGAAAGGTATAGAGCTCCAGGTGCAATAAGTGGCTGGGCCCTTCTGACAGGCCGGGTCAACAGCAGCCTCACCATCTGTGATGAAAAATAGTCTGACTACTTACTGCAAGGCAGGGAACTGGCTGCACCCTTCTCTGCCAATGTATTTAGTATCATATCACCCCTACTTTTAGGAGAGGATTTCAAAGAATTAAGCATGTGTATAATTAAGCCCTATCCTCTCAAGGATCAAACATGAATAACCACAGTTCCAATATCGAGGCCAGATGTCACCATTTTCAGTTAGGTGACATCTAGTGACTTTTCAGATAGGACTGCATTTTCAGTCATGTAAACCAAATTCTAGAATCTATGAACTGTCATATCCAAAATGTGAAAAGAATACAAATCAACTAGAAATACCTTCTATAATTTTATTCTTATGTATGGTTTTAAAAGTTAACATATGTACCAAGCTATCTTAAAACTCAGTTTTTACCATGACTTTTCACTCATGAGTGTAATTAGGCTGGAGTTTAAGCTGGGCTTAGTTTGTATGGTTCCAAGCCCAAGTCATTAAAATGTATAATTTACACGAAGAACAGAAGATAAAGGGACATATTAAGAGGTACCTTGGTGACGCAGGAACAGACTACTCGGCTTCAACAAGTACGTGGCAAGAGGAAAAGGCAAGATGGAGAACCTGAAGATTTGACTTGGGGTGGTGAACACAAAGCAGTATACAGATTATGTATCATAGAATTGTACACTTTAAACCTATATAATTTTATTAACTGTCACCCCAATAAATTTAATTTTAAAAAATTAAAAAAAAAGAATTAAAGAATGTGCCAATCAAGCAATTAATCAAAGATGTAGACCTTATTTGGGTCCTTACTCAAACGCTAAAAATATATGTCATAATATTTATGAGACAATTGACAATTGAAACACTGATTAATTTTTTAATATATTCTAATAAAATTTTATATAAAATATTTTTAGATGTGATCATATGGTTATGTGTCTTATATAGATATGAACAGGACATGCAGAATGGATATGTGGTACTTCAAATTAACATAGGAGCAGAGAAGTGGGTGGAGATTTAGATGAGATTTGCCATGAGTTGAAAATTTTATGGGGGTGGATTTTCATAATACTTTTGTCTGTTTAAACAGCATTAGTGAGCTATAATTGCTATACAGTAAGTTACATATTTAAAGTATACAACTTTTTATATATTTAAATTTTTCTATGATAACTTTAAAGACAAAGATTCTATAAATTTCAATCAATCTAGCTTTAGTAAAAGGGTAGACTTCCATCCATTTAAAAAAGAACACTTAGGATCATTGTATAACTTTGTCCTGGGAATGTGAAAGGTAACCATTTGTAAGTCTGAAATTTAGGAGGCAGGCCCCATTGCTATAACTTTCTTAGATTTCTCTACATTGTGGGCTTCAAGAGAAGATTTGAAAGCAAATTTGCATATTTTTTATTGAATTTATTGGGGTGACATTAATAAAATTATATAGGTTTCAGGTGTACAATTCTACAATACATCACTGTGTGTGCACAACCCCAAGTCAATTCTTCCATCACCATTTATCTCCTTTGCCTTCTACTTCCCCTCATCCCCCTTTCTCTGGTAATCACCACACTGTTGCTTGTGTCTATGGGTTGTGTTTTTTTGTTTTGTGTTTTGCTTAATCCCTTCACTTTTTCACCCACCTCCCTCCAACACCCTCCTTTCTGACAGCTGTCAGTCTGTCCTCTATAAATTTGTTTCTATTTTGTTAGTTTATTTTGTTCATTAGATTCCACATACAAGTGAAATCATATGGTACTTGTCTTTCTCTGACTTATTTCACTTAGCATAATACTCTCCAGGTTCATCCATGCTGCAGTAAAGGGTAAGATTTCCTTTTTATATCCATCCCATTGCATAAATGTATCAGAGCCTTTTTATCCACTCATCTACTGATGGGTGCTTGACTGTTTCCAAATATTGGCTATTGTAAATAACACTGCAATGAACATAAGGATGCATATATTCTTTCAAATTAGTGTTTCAGGTTTCTTTGGATAGATTCCCGGAATTGGAATCTCTGGGTCAAAAGGCAGTTCTGTTTTTAATTTTTTGGGGTATCTCCATACTGCTTTCCACAGTGGCTACACCAATCTGCATGTGGGTTTTCTTTTCTCCACCATCCTTGCCAATACTTGTTAATTTATTGATAGCCATTCTGACAGATGTGTGGTTTTAATTTGCATTTTTCTGATTAGTGACATTGAGGATCTTCTCATATGTCTATTTGCCATTTGTATGTCCTCTTTGTGTAACCGTCTATTCAGGTTCTTTGCCCATTTTTTAATTGGATTGTTTTTTTGGTGTTGAGTTGTATAATTTCACCCTGGCTGGTATGGCTCAGTTGGTTGAGTGTCATCCTGTGCACTTGAAAGGTAGCCAGTTCAACTCCAGGTCAGGGCACATACCCGGGTTGCAGGCTTGATACCTGGTAGAGGGCATGCAGGAGGCAGCCAATCGATGATTCGCTCTCACATCAATGTTTCTCTCTTTCCCTTCCTCTCTCTCAAAATCAATAAAAAAAATATTTTAAAGAGACACTAAAATTAGAGGAGTAATCCCATTCAAAGTTCCATAGTTTTATGTTATTCATATGTGTGATATTGAAAAATAGGAGAGAAGGAAATCAACCATTTTTTTTCTTACCTTCTGGGCATCTGAACTACCCTTTTCTGGAAGTGCAAGTTTTTTCTGAAACCATGTCAAATCTTTATGAGCAAGACCTCAAAAATAACTCCTAGGAAAATTAAAATAAAGAAGATTGGCATCCAATCATTTTGACAAGTCCAGGATGCTAGAAGGTCCCATAAATTAAAAAATATTATTTTCCAATCCACTCATCACAGCTTTTTTTGGTAAAAAAATTGCTTTGACATTTTTATATGTGAAATAAATTGATGTCTCACTCTGAAGTCTTTATCTCATAACCACATGCAGCAAGGGCTCTGCCAGAAAAAAATTTCCAGTGCTGCTCAGTGTTGGATCAAGGGCAGCAGTAATTAAAGTGAGGTACTTGTCACAGTGGGTATTTAACTGCGTTCATAGCAACTTACTTTAGCAATAACGAAAATTCATTTGTGAGAGGTGTGGTGCTATAAGTAGCTTTTTTACTTAAAATTTCAAAAATAATCCTCTATTTCACAAAAAGACAATTCTATAAAGAATCCCTTAGCATACCTGGGTTATCACTGCCCTGTAATTCAAATGTAGAAAACATTTGACTGGACATAACCATTTTCTTTTTTTAAAAAACACATATCTTTACTGATTTGAGAGAGAGGAAGGGAGAGGGGGAGAGAGAGTTGAAACATCAATGATGAGTCGTCATTGATCGGCTGCCTCCTGCCCACCCTGACTGGGGATCGAGCCTACAGCCCAGGCATGTGCCCCAACCGGGAATTGAACTGTGATCTCCTGGATCCTAGGTGAATGCTCAACCACTGAGCCAAGCTGGCCGGGCAACATAACTATTTTTTATTACCACCAGGAATATTCTATTTTGTGCTTCTTTATAATCCGGAAAATATAAATGTAAGATTGCCAGGTTTAGAAGAAAAACACAAACCAAAACTAGATGACCCAGTTTAATTTAAATCTCAGATTAATGTCAAATAATTTTTTAGTATAAGTATGTTACTATTGTTACTATTTAGGACATGAGAGCTTGCCTTTTATGGGCCTGCAGATTTTTTTTCTTAACTTTGAAATATAATACCTAATTTTGTATTTCTTTTTACCGGATGGGTGGATGGGTCTGCTGGCAATGTTCCTCTTCAACAATCTACTGTTATGCTGAAAACCAGTTAGACTTTACCATAGTCTCCTGGTGAATTTCCTTTCACCCTGTCTGGTGATTCTAAGGAGTAGCTACTTGTGATGCTTCCAGATCTCAGAAATAGGGTTAGGCAGAGCCAGATTTAAGTCCTGCTCACTTTTCCCCAAGTTTAGTCACAAATAAGGTAGATGAGAGTCTGGACTATTCATGAAAATGTTAACACTACCTTGGATTTACTTTCCCTTTGAAGATGTAGTTAATTTTTGTCTTCACTTATTCCAGGTAGATTGAGGAAAGATGTAACTCTTTAAATCAGTTAACTGTTCAGGCCTCTTTGGCCACATTAAGTTTAACTGAGTGTAAGGAAGATATATGAGTCTCTTACTTTCCCTGAGTATTAAAGACCGTAAGATCAAAGGCACATTCTAAGTGTCAGAGTTTACAGTCTTCGAGTCTACAGAACCATACCCTCCAGGTAGTTATGATCTTTATTTAGGTTTAACTGTTATCTTGTTTTTCTTTGCAAAGAATAGCCTTCCAGAATGCATGGTAGGCCTTCATTACTTCTAGAAGAAACTTTTGCAATTCCTCTGGATTTTTTCAGGGTCAAGTACACCCTGTACTCTGACTCCCTACCTACATGCATAGTCAGGGTGATTTTCTTCTGTTTCTTTTTTCCTCTATGAAATATAATGCAGTTGGCAAAACAGTCAATTTCTCTTGCCTTATGGCAGGCATTCTCTAATTCATTTAATATAAGTACCTTAAAGGGCATTCAATATATTAACACTTTACTCTGTTTCTTAGATTTTTCAGAGCTTTACGGCACTGAATCCCTCATTAGTATACCAATGAATAGCTCTTATATGAACTGAAAAGGAACTTCTGTGTAATGCTAATGCTGATGCTTAAGTTTTCAGAGGTAAAGAGTACCCCCTCCAAAGCTTTGTCGTTTGTTTGTTACTTATGTGCTTGCCTACTAATAAAAGAACAATTACCTAGTTTTCAGCACAAATGAAACACTTCTGTCCTTTGCACTAGAAACCTCTTATGTCAATCTTAAGTGAGCAGTATTAAAAGTAAATGCTAAGCTCTGGCTGGTGTGGCTCAGTTGAAGTGCTGTTCCATACACCAAAAGGTGGCAAGTTCAACTGCTGGTCAGGGCACATACCCAGGTTGTGGGTTTGATCCCCAGTAGGGACACGGGCAGGAGGCAACCAACTAATGTTTCTCTCTCTCTCTCCCTTCCTCTCTCTAAAATCGATAATAAAAAATTTAGGTTATTTATTTTAAAAAAATAAAAAGTTAATGCTAAGCTAAATTTATTTTTAAAAATCATAGACAATAAAAAATAATGACCGCCAGAGAAATCACATTACCAACAGTAATAGATCTACAGGAAAACGCTCAGAAAAAAAATTCTTTGACATCGTGAACAAGGTTTTAAATCTTTATGTACCAGGCAAAAAGTCCCAATAATAAGTGTGTAAATAGCAATATAAAACCAGGATTGCTCATAATGGTTAGAAATTCTCCATCTGTGAATATCTTAGTTCACTACAAATATCTATTGAATAATGAAAGCAAAAGGCACTGAATAAGTAACTTAAAAGTGCTTTATGGATACAAAGATGAGTATTAAAACTATTCCCTGACTTGAAGAAGTATGTAATTTAAGTGGTATGGATTAAATATGTTAATAACCTCCTGAGAAGACCAAGTGTGATTAACAAAAAGCAAGATATTATGTGGGTTTGAAGGAGAGGTATTTGGTTAGGGTAATTCAAAGCTATAAAGATGGAAAGAGAATGAGTAGATTTTGGTAATAAGCAAAGACTAACAAAGAAAGTTTCAGAAAGAGGAGACAAACTTTGTGCAGTTCTGAAACTTTGTGTAGTCTGTTACCTGGAGTACTGTGTACAGGTTCAGAGTAATGGGGCAATAAGGCTAAAATAAGGCCTATTGTGCAGAGCCTTACACTAAAGACTTCAATAATCGCCTTTGGAGATCTCCCATGTTTTTGAGTTGGAGGTGTCAAGTGGTCTACTGAAGCAAGAAGACAATAAAATAGGAAAATCAATTAGGCTACTGCAATTATACAGATGAGATTGTTGAGGGCCTGAATTAGTGACTAACTTTACTACAGTAAAATAAGTCTTGTTTTCCTTTTTTAAAGATGACACTCCTCTGCAAAATTACTTTCTCAATTGCACAGAAATGACAAAAGTTCCACTGTAACAAAATTCAAATGTTTAATTTTTTTCAAACTATATTAATAAAAATAAATTATATTTAGACCATCTTTAATATTTGTGCATCATCTTTATAGAACTATGGTTTCAAAAGACATTTTGTAAAAGACATCAATTTCACAATTAAAACATGTTTTATAAATGGGGGAACATTAAAGAACATTAAATTAGCTGAAAATATACCTCATAATGCTGAGAGTTACGCTGTTCTTTATCAAATTAACTGTATTTGTATTCAAAATAATATGGCTTTGAACTAAAGACAATTATTTTTTGTCCATTTCAGTGATTTCCTGGATCCAAAACAAAATTTGTGTATTTATTTCTTTGAAAACATCATTTGTTGACCTTCCTTTTACTGCCATGGAATGATTTGCCTTCTCAATCCAGTGGATTTTACTAGGAGCTTGCATTTTCTGTGCGACTTTCTCCAACAAGTTCTAAAGGAAAAAAGAAGAGGATACTAGACTAACGCTCCGTTTGTGTCTAATAAGCATTCTCTCTCCTGCCCCACCTACCCGAGCACCCATTCACTAAATATTCGTTAAATGCCTACTCCTTGAACAACTTTTGAGGCAATGGAATGTGCAAGGAAATGTCTACCAAAGTGGCAGGCAGTCCCCCATCTCTCAGAAACAACACTACTACAGAACAGCTCAAGCATTTGATACTGATAAAAATTAAGTAAATTAGAGCAAAAAAAATCATCGAAAAATATTTTTCCCAAGGACATTATATGCTCTAGGAAACACAATGTTTACTAATATGTACAAGTTACTATCTTTTCCCTCGAGTCAATTTTATAAAAAAATGGAAGAATCTGCTTGAAAGGTGAAATGATAAACCAAAATGTAGCCTAGTAATTCCCAAATCACAAGATTCAGATTAATCCTTCATTTCCCAAGTAAAAGTTAATCCATTTACCAACTCTCTTTATAGGGAGATTAATTCTGTCATTATGCTTATTTTAGGTTCTTCAAAGCAACAAGGCAACTAAGGCACAAAACTAGCATTAGTCAAATCAGCATCTCTTTAAAGAGACTGAATGCCTCAGGTAATATATTGTTCCTAAGATATTTATCTTTCTTGCTCATTCACACAAATGTCAAGTTGTAATTCACCTTTTCACACATTTCATCTGCTGAGCCTGACACAAATAGTACAGGATCTTTTATACGAAAGAGATCTTCATCTCTAAGTTTATGCTGCTGCTTTGGATGGTGCAGTGGATAAGAAATACAAATGAGACCGCGAACAAAATCATTAGCATCAGCTGGCTCAATATGACACATTACAGAAGCAGCTGCTCTTGAGCCCATTGAACGACCTAAAATCAATTAAAATTAAGTTCAGTTTGAAGTATAAACATTCACATAAAGTAGTGGGGATAATGTGGCAAATTATATTTCATTTACTGTTTACCCATCATACTTGTATATAAACAAATTAACTCCAAAAGGTGACAATTAATAAGTAGCAATATCCATAATGGATACCTATAACCCATGAAGAGCTAAAAACTAATCCTAAGTCAAATTTTTTTAAAAAGGAATGATTTTTCTGAAGGATTGTGAGGATAATCCTCATGAAGGAGTCATCTGAAAGAAGGTGAACCAGATATATAAATAAAAGGAGAAATCTTTGGGTTACAATACATATATATGAAGTTCAAATTTGCTTTAAATATATAAAGTACTTTGATGTTACACAAGGAAGTGACTTCCCAAAACAAAAAATCCTTAAGTTAGCTTCCTGTAATCTATTTTAATTCTCAATGACCTAGTCCTATATTTTTAGTAGTATATTTAAAAACAAGTATTCAAAAATATTATAACTTACCTCCAAGGAAAACACCTGCAAGTTTGTATTCTCCTGAGGTCTTGAGGTAACTCTTAAAAAAAAAAAAAATCAATGAAAAATGATCAATTCTTCTCCTATAAAATATTCCACTGGAAAAATCAACATATTTTTCATCATTATTGGAATGCCTAAAATCTTTGCAAAGACAACCACAAAATATTAAGAGATTCTTCTTGAAAGAGGTAACCAGTTCTTTGCTCTTCCGGTGATGCCTCCACTGTCAAATCATATGTTGGGTAGCCCAGCTGGCATGGCTTAGTGGTTGAGCATTGACCTAGGATCCAGAAGATCGAGGTTCAATTCCCAGTCAAGGCACATGCCTGGGTTTCAGGCTCAATCCCCAGGAAGGGGCCTGCAGAGGCAGCCGATCAATGACTCTCATCATTGATGTTTCTATCTCTCTCTCTCCTCCTTCCTTCCTCTCTCTGAAATCAATAAAAGACATTAAAAAAAAAAATCACATGTTGGGTAATACAGGCAAATATAGTAAAGTGGAAAAACCACTTCACCAGTCTAAAAAAATCAAGTACTAAAATACATTTACAGAACAAGATATATATGTATATTACAACTAATACAAAATTTGATATACTAACATCTAATTTAAAGCTTTGAAAAACTTAGCAAGCTTAAAGTAATTTGGATTAAAAGAAATTTCAGCCCTGGCCTGGCAACACAGCTGATTAGAACATTGTCCCGATACGCCAAGGTTGAGGGTTTGATGCCCGGTAGGGCACATATGAGAATCAACCAATGAATACGTAAATAAGTGGAACAACAAATCCATGTCTCTCTCTCAAAAATCAATAAATTAAAAAAAAAAAGAAGAAAATTTCAGATTTATTTTATCCTGGGACTTTATAGTTTCCAAATAATGTACACAGAAAACTATGCTAAATTTATACATTCATAGTATAGTAAGCAAAATATCCAGAACTGTATTCCAAAGTTATGTAATTCCAGTAAGAAAATTACATCATAAGTAGTTTCCTTGGCAGTATCATGGAGGACCATTTATGATGTAAGCACTCATCTCCACGGAACCTTCATATGCTGCTGAGTTTCTAAGAATACTCATTAAAAGATATTTAAATTAAATCAAATGTCTGCTAACAAAACTTGTCTTACATTTATTAAGAATTTTAAAACAGAATTCTGTTATAAGTAAATATAAAAAAAATTTCTTACCAAAACTGATTTATATGCCTTAATTCTATGTACAATATTAAGGCCTTTACACGTAAACCTCAGGCAAAAAAAACCATGAGATGCAAGATGGGATGCCAGTGACATCAAATGAGGAAGATTCATATCTCCTGAAGCTCCGTGTGTAAGAATTATTCCATATGTTAAGCTCTTGTTAGGTACCAAACAAACAGCATCTAGTAATTTATTTCCAAAAGGTATTTTTAATTTAACCTGGAATTCAAAAGAATAAAGGGATAAAAAATTACTTCCTTGTGTATTCAGACAACTGAATAGCTAAATGTTTGTTCTGTAAGACCCATGATTCAAGTAACAGCCTTTATAAAAAGCAATGATATTAAAAAGCTATTATTAAATAGTTAATGGTAAATAAGTCCTTATTGTGTGTCAGGTACTATTATAAGTTTTTTATAGGTTTTAACACATTTATCCTTCCTAATAATACTATGAGGCAAATACTATTATTACCTCTATTTTACAGATGAGGAAACTGAGGCACAGTAGGTTAAATAACATGCCCAAGATTATATAGCCACTAGCTGGATTCAAACTTAGGCAATCTGCTCTAAAGTCATTACTCTTAACCACTAATGCTATACTGTCTCTCACAGTACAAGCTGAAAATAAGAAAATTACTCTGGAACCATATGACTACAAACAAACAACACATACACACACACACCCCTGAAGATGCAGAACATATGAAAATATGTATTACCTCTGTATGATTCATTTTCACTGTTGAATAACAAACTTAAAGTGCATTACATCTGAGAAGCAAAGGACATCTCCCTGAAAAGAAGATTCTATTGTGAAAGGTGGGTTGGCAGACATGGATATGATACAAGAACTATGAATGAGCATTCAGTAGCTGAAATAAACACATTTAGAACTACTTCTCTAAGAACTGGTATCTTTACATATGCATTAATTATTTTCAAGGTTCCTATGAGCACTCAGAATAGATTATAGGGCCAAGTGTGGGGCTGGCAAATGTCATATAATATAAAACCAATGTGGTGCCTTAACACGGAAACCTGAAGAAAATTCATTTCAAAATAGGATGCTGTATGTTGACATATATATGTTCTAAGCATCTTTATTCTCAACTATCTTTAACTTAATTTCACAGCATCTATTAACCCATTTCTTTCATCATTATTGTTCTCAACTCTCCCTCTCACCATACAATAGAAGTATATATCCACACCATTTGTTATGTGACTGCAGAGCCTCCCAACAGGAAGAGTATATATCAACCCCATCGACTTGGGTTTGGCTATGGGACTTGCTTTCATGGAATATACATAAATGTTTGAATGTGCCATTTATGAGAAGAGGAAGGACAAATTTCCAGAAGCCCTCTTAACTTTCACCCTCAGCCATGAGAAAAACACGCTCCAGGTATTTTTATTTTTTCAGCCTGGCCCCAGAATGAAGACACATGGAGCAGATCTGAACCCAAAACTAAAACGTAGAGTGCAGCCTAGTCCAGATCTAAACCACTGAATAGCCACGAAATGGGGACCTGAAGAACCACGAGCACGAAATGCAGTAAGCCACTGAGACTTTGGGGTTGTTGCACAGCATTCCTTCTTACCAGCAGAGATCTTTTATTTTTCAGGACATTATCAACATCAGACTTCATTATTCATCCATTTTCCCCCATTAACATTTGTTTTTTAATTCATGAGTAGATAATACAGTTCAAAGCTCAAAAGATTGCAAAAATATACAGTGAAGTTTCCCTCATCCCACTGTTGTCTTGCCACCAAGATCTCCTCTCCAAAGGAATTATTCATTTCTTACATATCTTTCCAGATACTTTACATGTACACACACCCCTTCTGTCTTTTTATAAACTGATGATGCCTTTCTTTGACCCCCACCACACATACTTATCTTGATGATTACTCTTTTCTTTATATATAATAAGCATCTTTCATTGTACTTTATGGCTGCAGAATATTTCAAGGAAGGGTTAAACATAATTTATTTCACCAACCATTTATGAATAAAATTTGAGACTGTTTCCAATCTTTTCCTAAAATAGTACTGCAATGAATGGCATTGTACTTACATTATTTTCACACATGTGTAGACATATCTGTAATATAAATTCCTGGGAGAGGAACTGCTGTGTCAAAGGGTATACTTATTTACGATTTTTTAAAGAATACATTTCATTTTTGAATGGGTAATATATGCACATGTACAGAATTTTAAAAGAACAAAAATGTGTAAGTCTCCTCACATTCTTTCCCACCAGCCACCACGTTCCTTTCTCTTCCCATAAGCAACCACTGTGATCAACTTATTGTGTAGTTTCCCTTATATGTGTAGGTCTGTGTAGAATAATTCTCTTATTTGAGCTTGAAGGGTATTAATTTGATTGCAAAAATTCTGGGATTTGAGTGGGAGAAGGGTGAAGGACTCTGGCCTTCAGTGTCTATTTTCATAAATGTAGCCCCGTAATTAACTGCCTGGGGTCCTGTTTTACATTCTCAAGATAAGAGTCTACAGTCTTCTAATGGGAGAAAGGTGTGAAACGGGGAAGGCGATCTAGGTATCTAATTAGTTCTCAAATAGATTTCACCCAAGTCATCTTTACTTAAGCCCTCCACATTCATCCTCAGCACAAGTCCCTTCGCTGCCAGTTCCCAAGGTGTTCAGTGCTGCCAGTTTCTGCGCATTGTGAAGATTCTCTGGTTTATATAGAAATGATCCACAGTACTCCCTGCTGCTGGTTTAGAATTAAGCTAAGATTTGCTAAGACATTTACTTTCTAGTGCTCAGTGTGTTATTGCTTTTGTTTCCTTTCCCATTCTCTCCATCCTTGCGGGTTTGTCTTTTTTTTTTTAAATAAGAAAACCCTGACTGTAACTTTAGTGAGATTTCAGGAGGGAGTAAAATTAGATACATGTATTCAATCCGCTATCTTAACCAGAATGCTTGCTCTACCATTCCTCAAAAACTTGGGCTTTTGTTTGTTTTCAGGAAAACTCGACTCCCTTGCAGTAGAGGGACACACTGTTCTTCACAGCTGGTGTGCGCGTCCTGGACCACTCGGGAAACACCGAATTGCTCCAGGGTGTAATCTCACCACAACTGGTCTAGACAGTCTCGGTTATAATCTCTGCTGTTGGATCCCCATAGGGCAGGGTTTGAAACCTGGATCAGTATCTTCAACTGCAAGCGGAGAAAACACCGCAACCTCACAGAGAGGCTGCGATGATTAGGTGATAATCTCTCTACTGTATTTAGTAGTGTCCCGACCTCGTCAGCATTCAAGGGTGACTTTTATGACGACTAATACTCAGAACGCAAAAAGCCACCACATCTTATGCGCCAGGATCAAAGAATGCCACCAGCACTGTAACTTTCAATGGGTACAACGTGCCTTATCTATGCAGTCGACAGCAGTACGTGGGAAGTCGGGGGGCAAACAAAAACGTCAGGAGTTCGAGTCTGGGGGGAGGGGGGATGCCGATAACCTGGCCGGGTCTGCAACACACACCAAGCCGTACAAGAGGAGACGCTCGACGCGGGGTTTCAGGAGGCTGGGATTCGAAGGCATCCGAGAACCGGCTTATTCCCTCAATGGTGCGGCGGCTCTTCCGAGGACCGGGGGCGACCCATCCAAGCTCGGAGGCGGCTTCAAGCCAGGCGCCGGTGACCGGCTCGAGGGACCCGGGTGGGACCCGTTCGGCTCTGCCCTCCAGCTCCGTCCCCACACTCCGGCCTCCTAACCCGCCAGGCAGGTGACGCCCCAGCGGCCGGTGCCCGCCGGCACCGAACTTAAACCGAACGCCTCACGGAGCCGACAAACAGCTCCGGAGAGGCGGC